GGGTTACTCGGTCGAGACCCATGTGGTGAACTTGGAGATATACTCGCATTTTTAGCACACATTGACTTTGACATTGTTATTTTCACTCACCCCTCAGTGTAAGTGCGCCAGTGATACTACCTGTTATTAGTTGACAACATACTTATCGCGTCGTCGCAGAGGTAGATAACCGTCATCGAGTGGGTGCAAAATGGCCCCGATGCCGACGCGCCCTTAAAAACCAAATCACCACCACACCACACAGGTCAGAGCTTTGACTCAGAGAACATATGACTCATTTTGTTTCAGTTAGGCTGTTTTGATACCTCAAGAGCAGACTTCTGATCCCTTTATCACACCTGTCATCACTGGAACTGTACTGTACTAGCTGCTCAGCTGCGGAGGCGATCTGGCCTCGCCTGCTTCTGACACTGGCAGGAACCTCAAGAGCAGACTTCTGGTCTCTTTATCACACCTGTCATCATTGGAACTGTACTAGCTGCTGCTCAGCTGCTGAGGCGATCTGGCCTCGCCTGCCTCTGACACTGGCAGGAAGGGTGGGCGCCGCGAGCGATCCAACCCTGTACCTCTGGTGACCCAGACGCGCAATGGTCAACGCAGACACATTAAGCACTGCACTTTAGGTACCCTGTATCACACCTGGTGTGCAGATGCAGTTTGTAAGTCAGATCATAACTAAGCTCTTCTGAACAGGCACATATTTATCCGGATGTAATTTAGACAAATTTAGGCACTCTCCTGACCTTAGTAACGTTGTGTGCGGGTGAGGGCTGGCATGCTGAACAATCACACTGCATATCCGTGTATTTTTGACGATGTTTTAGCTCCCTCGCTGTAGCACCAAGTTGTTGTGCCATCTAGGCTTGATTTAGTTGTGACTGCATTCTAACGTGAAACTAGGGGCTTTGAAACAAAGTCATAAAATTGTGAGCAGTTGCAAATTATAGTTGAAATACCAACAAAGTGTGTGGTTCGTTTCACATAGCGTTCATAATTTAAAATAAAACTCTTCCTTCGATAGCTCGATAAACTCGATAAAACGTTTAATGCTCAATCGCCTCCAACTGGATAGGAAACTACAACCCTGTCCGGTAGTTTGATTGCACAGAGCAAAGCGATATAGTACTTCAATGCTGCTTTTGCCACTAATGTAGGTATCATCAGGCTACCTCATTGCAGTACTTCAGGCTACTCCATTGCACCAATCGAATGAACCTTTCGCCCACCTGTTGGCTGGCGCACGTTCTACGCACCGTTCCATCATCAGCTGCACGCCACCCGACAGCAGCCTTTTCACTCTGTCTGCACGCCTCGTCTCCCGCAGCTGGTTAACTGTGCACAAGCCAGACGTCGATCGCGCGTCGCACGAGTACATTTATGTTCTTTGAATCACAATGCTTAGCTGTGACCCGTTGCCTTCCGTGGATTCACTACTCGTGTGCTCCGTGGAGCCCGCTCTTCATCGGCTAATGGAATTCCATCCAACACTTTGAATACCTGGTGACTTCCATACCAAAGCCTGTTCATTACTTGGCCGAGAGGCGAAGTAAGTGATGTAGATCGCGGGTGTTGCATGTGTGTACATAGCAACGCCTAACAGCGGTGGACGCGTGTGAACGGTCTTGCATGTTGGGCAAATGGGCCGAGCCTCACTGCGTGTGGATTGTCTGATGGCCGACAACGGTGATTATGACTTGATAGCTTACCAATAACTGCGCAACCGAACGACATCGAAATGCGCCATGGCTATGGTTCCGTGGACGGAATCAGCTGATTCCAATTTTCCCCGCATTTGGACTTCCGGCATTATTCATAGCCACGGATGACGCACTTGCCTGAGACGCCACAGGCTGTTAACTGAATGGGCGGAGCCTGGCTTTGATAAATTGGATTCTGGTTTTCCTCCGCTCCTCCCTTCCATTACCTCCGCTGCACCCTTTCCTTCAATGTCATAAGTACAAACACATTAGGATGACAGGTGATAGAGAAGATTCTACGGACCCTGCGTATTCAGTATATGCGTTGAGTACAGGCATTCATTATGCTGATTATTTAAACTGTGCAGGATCCAGCCCTTCTGGGCTCTTCGACCCTGCTACCTACCTCGGATCGCAGACTTCCACAGCAAGCGACCCTTCTTTTGGCCCTTTTCAGTGTAGTTGTAGGTATGACACCCCGCTCTGACACGGGCAGGGGGCCTATACCGAGCGATATACAAATTGATCGATGTACCCGCCTCACGCCGATCCGATCGCCGGCCGGTCCGGTTCTCCGGCTCAGGGGTACGACCGTTGTCCCGTTCTTCAGTGAGGTTGCTGGTTAGAGGTCGTGAAAGGAGAATCCCAAGAATAGGTAAATGATACGTGCCTGGGTGTTTTATCTAGGCTGAGGTTCCTGTTACATTTCCCGCTTTGGCCCGCTTGCTTGCCTGTTGGCATGTTCACTGTTCAAGCGAACTGAAGCTGTTAAAAAGCCGTCAAGCTTTTTGACAGCTTAAAAAGTTTGAGCAGCTTTAAGGCTTTAAAGCTACCTTCGTTTTCCGGTGAGGGCTAAAGCAAACAGTGCTATTATGGTAGCTGTAGAAAGTTCACAAGTCATTATTATGAACTCAAGTATTCTTCCCGGCGATGTTATTTTCAAGTGATTTGCGTTAGTTTGTTGTCATGAATCGCTTGGTGAAATGTGTACCGCACGAAATGGTCATAACATATATTTTGCTTTCATCGATCCTTTTATGCTAGTTGCGTATCGTAGATAGTAGTCCTCAACTTTCAGACAAAAAGAAGAAAAAAATCCGTGCTGTGGTGGCATTTCAGTGATTATAATGGGGCCATCAGGATTAACATCCTAGAGCAAGCCGGCTCCTCTGCAGCTATGAGTGGGTGTTTTTTCGTGCAGTAACCACCTTCACATTAACTGGTATGTGCATGTATGTGTGCGTGCGCATTCACTGGTCGGTGTAAGGGAGTGTATCGGGGATTAGCCGACGCCCACCTGCCCAGTCGTGCTCTCGAGCCGGTGCATGGCGCGACGGCCGCTTTCTCCCCGCTGCAGCCGGCGTGAGGGACCGCGACGCTGCCGAACCAGCACAGCCGATCTGTCGTGCGGTAATCCCGGAGTGGACATGACGAGTGCGTGTGCGTATGTTTCAGTGAGTACCGGAGCCGCTGTGAGCTGTACGAGCAGGAGGTGTGGGTGTGCCAGTGCACCGGCCGCTCGGGACTCACCCACAAACAGGCGTGGGACAGCGAGCATCAGATCCGCGGCATGCTGGACAAACAGTTCCCCGAATTTCTGCACAGACCGATCCTTTCGGTGGTGCACCACAGTGAGTGCCGCTGACGCCATTCTGTTGTCTTTTTCATTCATTTATTTTGCTACGCAATCTGCGTCGATCCCGACGGACACTCTTTTAGACATATGAGGTGCCCGTTATGAATGTCGCAGTCGCTTGGCCATGGTAAACTTTCAGTGTGAAGTCCAGGCAGACTTGATGTTACGTTCCATGCCGTCGATTTGGGTTAGATTAAAGGCGCACGTTTAACGTAGCTACGCTGGTACCGGCGCCAGTGTAGATGCATTGGAACCGAGTAGAACTCTAAAGGTGTGGCTGGCACCGACGCTGGTACCTCCTTTTAACTGATTCAGTGCAGGGTGCCGTGGCTTTCCATCGGAAGGCACCGGTCAGGCATCGCCATAACGAATCCGTGCACATTCCTTCTGCAGACGACACCACGGAATCAACAACTGGTTACCGCTGTCGGCGGACCGAAATCTAGCCTGCACTTTATGTTTAGGTGCCTTGTGTCTGCCCAATTTTCTGCTAATGTGGTCAGTTCCATAAGTATCTGTTTATGCTTTCTTCGCTTTCAGGTACGAAACCGCTGGATGCTTTGATAGATGAGGCTTTCAACCTTGCGCACAGTCGTTTTCATGTTGGAGAGCCTGTCACCTGTCTTAAACATGAAAAGTGAGTATCTTACTTCCTTACCGTGTCTTTTCTTGAGTATTTTATTCCTTGTTCGGTGTGATAAGGTCGAGGTCGTAGTCAAAGAACACTGGGTTCGAGCTACTGAGATAACGAACTGTTTGACGCAGAATGTTGCAGCATTAAAACAAAACAAAAAATACCGGGAGATATTGGATGGCATGGAAAGTTGTGCAGCAGAGTTACGTGCCGCGAAACAGATCTATCTGCGTTCTCGCTTGGCAAGAACGCCTAATGAAGGAAGAATCCTTGTGGCTTGGCTTAATACGTGCTCGGGCGGGGGTCAAATTGAACCCCTCCCCGAAGGTTTTCCCAGAATGGTCTCCGAACGGCGCGGCGTAGCCGCACCAAATTTTGCATAGCTGTAGACAATTGAATAGGGGATCGTTTGATATAATTTAGATGTACCTTATGAGGTCGTTGACTTATGGCAGATCAAAGTCAGGCCATGCATTCAGCGAAGTCGATTTCAAGGGAATCGTTTAATCTGATGCAGCAACAGATTGCTAGACGAAGCTATGCATCTCTGAGGTACTTCCTTAGGCAACGCAACAGTTGAGTGAACAAATTACATTGACTTAAGGTCAGATGTGAAGACTAGACCAAGGTCAAAACCAACCTGTTTCATTACTCTAGGGGTTGCTGTATGGGTAGTTTCTGGTGCTCATTTCGAATTTATTGATAACAGGAACCGCATGATGCACCTTCCATGACCTTTTCGAGGTCATAATAAGTCGCTGACCTAAAAGGACCCAGGTTAAAATTTTGTCTGAGGAATATGCTGCCTAGCGTAATCTTTGTCGCTTATTGAAATGCAAAACTCAAGGCAGTCTTGTATGATTTTGGTCACCGTGATCTTTAAAAGGGTAAACAATGTCACTGACCTTAAATGAACATGCCACCTTTTCCTTAGAACAGTTATCTAGATTCTGGGGGCCCTTTGGAAACTAACCTGGAATTAGACCTTTTTACCTTATTTTACCCGAAGGTCGTGATCCAGCAACCTCAAACTATGACGTAAGCGAGTTCACGCACAGGTCAATGCATCCTGTGAATTTAGTGTCCAGCTCTCTTAGTTCCTGAGATCTCAAGGGGGTCAAATTACCCCCCCCCCCCTCCTCACCCCACCCAAAACGAAGGGTATCCTACCGGCCACGCAGGCGCGTGTTAATCTTGAGCTTGAGGTTTAGGCAACAAGCCCCGCTAAGCATGCAGCGGCTCGTATTTTGATTTTAGAGGCCCCTGTTGCAATTTTTTAGAAGATGGTTGCTGCTTCGCTGTTTCCTGACGCTTAACGAGAATGACGGATAAGTTATATTGTCAGTGTATCGAGCTATTCATTTCAGTTGACCGTGAGACTGTTGTGGACGTAAAGAAGGTTAGATGACCTTTAGATGAGGTTACTAGCATTGCTACGAAACCGCACAAGGCTGGTAATTTGTTTCGGACAAAAAAGCGATGTGCCTGCGTCATGTCACCTCTACTCGTCAGTTGTTACAGAAGCTGACGGGTGGGCTTTGCGCGCGCTTCCCTTTCAAGATAACCTCATGAAATTCGTGCTGTGATTCGCTTGTTTTCGGATGTCATCTCAACACGTTGTAGAAAGCTGTATGTCTTAAGTAAGCCATTGTGGTGGCAAATGTGAAATCTGCATCTCACCTAGTGACGTTTCGCAGAGATGTTCTTACTCACTGCTGACCACGCCACACACTCCGATATTTCATGACCTGATAATGTGGCACGAGGCTGATGAGACGAACTTACTTCACATAAAGCATCTGGAATAAAAACGCATCACTGTGCCCATAGACCGCAAGTTTCCTTCATTTTGCACGCGATTTTAATATCAATGTTCAAAACACTGCATGGAGTTGAACCGCGGCACTCATTCGCCAATAAACTGACAATTATTCGCCTGTCCCACCCGTCAAATCTATCAATGGGATTTACTGTCAGGTGCAATAGGCCTGTGTTGTGGTGGCGTTCCGTGGTGTATGGTCGCTGCGCCGACCGGCAGGGCGCTGGGCCTGGTGACGGAGGTGGCCGAGCAGGAGACGGCCAGCAGCTCGCCGTCCAGCGACAAGGAGAACAAGGGCGGTCAGGCGTCACCGGCGCCCAACGGCCGCTTCCCCAGCCTGCTGCCACTGCGCTACACCGTGCGGCTGGAGCAGTCGCGGCGCGTGGTGACCGGCTTGGCGCCGGCCGACCTCAGGTCAGGCGTCACTCTGTGTGCCGACCGACCCCAGGTCAGACGTGACTGGCGCCGGGCGACCTCAGGTCAGACGTCACTCTGGGTGCCGGCTGGCCTCAGGTCACACGTGACTGGCGCCGGCCGACCTAAGGTCAGGCGTGACTGGCACCGGCCGACCTCAGGTCGGACGTGACTGGCGCCGGCCGACCTGAAGTCAGACGTGGCTGGTGCCGGCCGACCTAAGGTCGGACGTGACTGGCACCGGCCGACCTCAGGTCAGACGTGACTGGCACCGGCCGACCTCAAGTCAGACGTGACTGGCACCGGCCGACCTCAAGTCAGAGGTGACTGGCACCGGCCGACCTCAGGTCAGAGGTGACTGGCGCCGGCCGACCTCAAGTCAGAGGTGACTGGCGCCGGCCGACCTCAGGTCAGGCGTGACTGGCACCGGCCGGCCTCAGGTCAGGCGTGACTGGCACCGGCCGACCTCATGTCGGACGTGGCTGGCACCGGCCGACCTCAGGTCAGACGTGACTGGCACCGGCCGACCTCAAGTCAGACGTGACTGGCACCGGCCGACCTCAAGTCAGAGGTGACTGGCACCGGCCGACCTCAGGTCAGAGGTGACTGGCGCCGGCCGACCTCAGGTCGGACGTGGCTGGCGCTGGCCGACCTAAGGTCGGACGTGACTGGCACCGGCCGACCTCAGGTCAGGCGTGACTGGCGCTGGCCGACCTAAGGTCGGACGTGACTGGCACCGGCCGACCTCAGGTCAGAGGTGACTGGCACCGGCCGACCTCAGGTCGGACGTGGCTGGCACCGGCCGACCTCAGGTCGGACGTGACTGGCACCGGCCGACCTCAGGTCAGAGGTGACTGGCACCGGCCGACCTCAGGTCAGACGTGACTGGCACCGGCCGACCTCAGGTCAGACGTGACTGGCACCGGCCGACCTCAGGTCAGACGTGACTGGCACCGGCCGACCTCAGGTCAGAGGTGACTGGCGCCGGCCGACCTCAGGTCGGACGTGACTGGCACCGGCCGACCTCAGGTCGGACGTGACTGGCACCGGCCGACCTCAGGTCAGAGGTGACTGGCACCGGCCGACCTCAGGTCAGAGGTGACTGGCGCCGGCCGACCTCAGGTCAGACATGACTGACGCCCGCCGGCCTGAGGATGGCACATTAGAGCACAGATCACAGCGCACAGAGAGCGGTCCCTTACCATGTGTGCAGGTACGCAGTGGCAATGCGGAAGCTAGTCAGCGTGGGTCGGGTTCGGCCCAGCAGAAGGGGCAGCACTGTGGCAGATTTGTTCAGTGTGAGCATCGGCGATAGTTCGTCGGCGGTGGATCAGTGCCAGCATCCGCGATAGCTTGTCGGCGGTGGATCAGTGTGAGTATCGGCGATAGTTTGTCTGCGGTGGATCAGTGTGAGCGTCGGCGATAGTTTGTCGGCCGTGGATCAGTGTGAGCGTCGGCGATAGTTTGTCGGCCGTGGATCAGTGTGAGCGTCGGCGATAGTTTGTCGGCCGTGGATCAGTGTGAGCGTCGGCGATAGTTTGTCGGCCGTGGATCAGTGTGAGCGTCGGCGTAGTTTGTCGGCCGTGGATCAGTGTGAGCGTCGGCGATAGTTTGTCGGCCGTGGATCAGTGTGAGCGTCGGCGATAGTTTGTCGGCCGTGGATCAGTGTGAGCGTCGGCGATAGTTTGTCGGCCGTGGGTCGGTGTGATCGGATCGTCGGACATCGGCTTCCCACCATCGGCGTGACAGCGTGTCCGGGCAACGCCGTGCGCGGTGGACGCTTGCTGTCGTGCTGCCTAGACGCGTGTCCCGCTAACCGGACCTGACGTGACCTGGCCTTGCCGGCAGCCGGGCGGACCGCCTGCCCACACGGGACACGCTGCGCCTCTTCATCCGCTCCAGCGCGCTGCGCCAGGGCAGCAGCCCCACGGCGCCCTGGGTCGTCTCGGCGCCGCTCTTCATCAAGCACGGCCTCAAGAACAAGATCGCCGCCATCTTTCTGCCGTCCATCGAGCGGGTAACGGCTGGCGGCGCCCCGACGCTGTTCAGAGGGAACTCTTGGGCAAATTGCTGCGCCACGGTCGTACGGGTGGTTGTACGGGTATACAGCGCGGGCCCCCAAACTAGAGCTCTTGTTGGCGTCATTATCGCATCTAAAGACCGGTGTAAATCAAGTTCCTGGGAGGACATCTGCACGTGTTCGCTGGCGATTTATTCTGGGCTTCGAGTATTTGCAGACACTGATCAAGTTGAAAGAACAATTTACATTTGTATTTTTGTGTCCATAGCATGCAATTATTACAAAACTTGTATCGGTTCGGTCTGAGGCGTCCAGTTTAATCTAAATTACGCGTACGTTGTTACACTGTACTGTTTGTATAACTACCCTGTTGGATATGGTGTGGTTGTGACAAATATTAGCATGCTGTGCAATTTGAAATTTGTTGTTCATTTAAAACGTGTAATGTTGTTTGCTGTATGATTTTTGTGATTGAAATCTGTGATTCATTTATCTTTGTGTTGCTGCAGAAGAACAGCTCCAACACTCCCCTGTCTCCCAAGAAGAGGAAGTTGGAGGGCCTCAAAGAGAAGCCCACCAAGAAGGCCAGGTCCGACAAACCTGCACGCAGCCCCATGAAGGGGCCATCGCCGGGCAAACCAAACGCCGCGGTTCTCACCCCTAAGAAGCCCGGTCCTCCAGACTCGGACAGCGACTGCGAGGTACTGGCCAACATCGCCTCCTCTTCCAAAACCAAGAATGTGCTGAAGGTGACGCTGTCGCCGAAGAAGAACGAGTGCCACTCGAAGCTGTCTGTCATGTTGTCCCCGACCAAGATATCGGCGGCCGCCGCCGACGGCGACAGCGACGATTCAGACGATGTGAAGCTCAGCGTCCTGGCAAAGTCACCAAAGAAGCTGTCCTTTTGCGGCGGTGGGCAACCAGGCAAGAAGGCACTTTTTGGTAAGAAGACGGCCTCTTCTAAGCACTCCGCAAAAGGTGATTCGAAGCAGAATGAGAAACAAAAGAGGGGTAGAAAACCCAAAGACAAAGGGAAAGACCCGAAGCGGATGGGGAAGCCGGGTACGTCAAAATCCCAAAAGAAGGCGATGAAGCAGGTCTCGCTGCTGGAGATGGGAAAAAAGAAGCGAGGCCGTCCGAGGAAGACCGAGGAGAAGGACATGAAACAAATGTCGTTGTTTGACCTCAGCAAGAGGAAGCCGCCCGCGCGGCAAAAGACGGGCGACAGCTCTGAAGAAGGCGGGCGACGCTCCGAAGAAGGCGGGCGCCGCATCGCAAAGGACTCCGGTGAAATGCTCGCCGCAGAAGCCACTCAGCCTGCCGCCCTGTGTGCGCAAGCTGACGCGCGAGCTGGAGGCGGGCAAGCGCATCAACATCCACAACGCCTACCTGAACATGTGCGTGAAGGTGCTACGTCGCGAGCAGTACGCGCTCATCAAGCACGAACCGACGCGCGAGCTGATCGAGCGCCGGCGCACCAAGGTCGACGAGCAGCGGCTGCTGTCGCGCATGACGGCCGAGCAGAAAGACGAGTACATGAAGCGCAAGAAGCTGGAGCTGGACGAGGAGCGGCGCGCCCGGCTCAATGAGAAGCGCATGGTTAGTGAGGCTGGGCCGGCGTCGGCTGCTGCCGCCTGCCGTGTGCGGCGGCGGCCTCAGTGCCGCGCCGCGCATGCTTCAGGCCATGGTGGCTTTTGGGTGCGAAAAATAGCCAGGGCATCTCACTGGATGCTGGACGTACTGCTGTTAAAGCGTGCTCACATAATGTTGCATCTTGCCTGCACGTAATGGGTTTACGTCTATACCTTTTGTCCATGGATACAAGCCCCAGGGAATCGGTAGGCCAAACCCGTGTTCATGGTCACGCACATCACCGCGGAGTTAATTCTGAATTGTCACAGAGGGCAATTAGACCGGCTTGAAGTGGCCGGGGCCCCTTCACGGTGCTCCGCCGATGGGCGCTCCCACCTGCCGCGTACCGGCCGCCCGCGCTGACGACCTCCGTGCGCCGCAGCGGTTCGAGGACCAGACTCTGCAGCTGCAGCCGCTGCCGGAGCCGACGCCGGTGCGTACGCCGGACGGCCTGCCCAGCCGGCTGTTCGGCGACGTCGCCATGGTTACAGAGTTCGTGCGGGCGTACGGCGGCCTTCTGATGCCGCAGGGCGTGCAGCCCCTGTCGAGCGAGCACCTGATGCTGGCGCTGGCCGGCCGCCAGGCGCACCACAGGCTCTTGCTCGACGTCATCACCATGATGCTCAAGGTGCTGGTCAACGACGAGATCGCCGAGGTGAGTGGTCGGCCGCGCGACGGCCGGACGCGGATGTGAGAGTGGACAGGATTGACGCCCGGCACGGGCTGTGATGACGACAGGCGTCTTTGTGCCTTTGCGTCTTTGTGCCTGGAGGGGGGGGGGGGGGGGGGGAAGCTGCTGCGCTGCGCCTTGTGCGCTTTGCCGCCCTTCCTCAGCACGATGGCAGAACTGTGTTACATGAATCTGAATACGTATGGTAAGTTATGGACGAAAAAGCTAACCGTGATTCTGACGGTCGGAATTTCAGTACCATTCGACTACAGAGGTATATATTGTTGTGTTTGTCCTTGCATCATGCTGATTCCTGGTCATTTCGGCGCTGCTGTTCTGGCCTGGAGCCGCTGGCGCTCAGTATCGTAATCGCGCTGGCGGCTGGCTCGGTGCCTGACTGCCGTCCGCCCGTCTCCAGAACTACGCGGAACTGTCGATGCCACTACGCCAGATCCCGGCCACGCCGCAGACGGCCGCCGAGCTGGTGCGGCTGTCGCTGCGCCGCGCCGACGCCGACGACGCCGGCAGCGGCGCCAGCGACGCGCCCGACCACGACAGCACCATTGAGGACGAGCTGGTACGCCCGCGGCGCGCACCGGGGCGGCACGGGCTGTACTGGCCGGCGGTGGAGCGTGCGGCTGCTGCCGGGCGCTCTTCGGCCTGGCGGGCAAGCCAATGCACTGGGTTATTGGCGGGATTGTCTCGAGGTGACATGGAAACGGGTCATGCGCGCTCTGGCAGTGCCACGTCACCGATTTTGTTAGCCCGCACTGCGGCTCGGCTCGTGTTGATGTCATGGGCGCAATGTGCCGGCGGTCTGGCCGCGGCGAGCATTCGTGCTCGTCGGTACCCGCTGCGAGTGTCCGTGCCGCCTGTCGGACAGGCGGACGTGCTGGTGCGAGCGGCCGCAGACTCGGCCGCCCGGCACCCTCAGTACCCGGCACTCCGGCGGACCTGTGTCCTGACGTCCAGCCGCCCGTTCCAGTCGGACGGCGTGCTGGCGCGACTCGAACAGTGCGAGCTGTTCGAGCTGACAACAGACGAGCGCGTGGAGGTGCTGCGCGTGCTCGTGCACCGGCTGCTCGGCACGTACTCTCTGGCCGAGTACCAGGACGAGGCGGACGAGCGGTTCCGCCGAGTATGGACTCGCAAGCTGGCCATCTACCGCGACCGCAAGGCTGAACGGCTGCGCGAGGGCGAGCAGGCGCCGCCGCCGCCGCCGCCGCCACCGCCGCCGCCGCCGCCACCGCCACCGCCACCGCCACCGCCACCGCCACCGCCGCCGCCAGCGGCGCCGGCGGAGGGCGAGGAGCTGACGCCTGGCGCCAAACGCAGCCGGCGCAACGTGGAGGCGGCGCGCCGGGAGCGCGAGCAGCGCGAGAAGGAGGCCCGCGAAAGGTGAGAGGCGGATGGGCGGGCCGTCGCCGGCCAATTGCCTCCAGCACCTGGCAAGGGACGGAGCCTTGTGTGTCTGTGTAGAGTTGGGTTGGGCGTTTGGTGTTCGTTGTGTGACCATGCCGCTGACACGCCCCCAAGCCCAGTAAATAACCGCCGCCTGTCAATAGTCGAGCTACCTTGCCGCTGTCTTCCTCTTCCTCGTCCATCCCTGACGCTGCACCGTTCTCCCTGGCACAGTAAGACGGCCGCCGCCCGTGTGAGGCGGAGGCCGTTGACGTCGGGCGCGGCGGTGGGGACGCCTCGCGGGCGGGCCTCTCCGACATTGTCCCGACCGTGGTGTCCGTGGGCTACAGGCGGCTGCAGGAGCTGGAGCGGCACCAGAAGGAGCAGGATGAGGCGGCGGCGTTCCGCGAGTTCAGCCAGGTGACGGCGGAGCACCAGCGGCTGCAGCGGCACGCGCCGCTCGGCCTGGACCGCCACCACCGCCGCTACTGGCTGCTGCCGTCGCTGCCGGCCGCGCTGTACGTTGAATCGGGCTGGGCTAACCGCGACACGCTGGAGTACCGCGTGTCACCGCCGGCCGGGGCCGCCGCCTCTGATGACGACGATGACGAGCAGCCGCTGAAGGTGGTGCAGCGGCGCGCGGCGTCTGAACGGACCGTCCACGAGCGAGGCCGTGTCGTGCTGGTTAGCCACAAGCAGGTGAGGCGACGGCCCGGTGGCAGACGGGTCAGGCTGTCGGGCGTTCAGACTGTGACACGGTGGGGCGGGCCAGACTGGGGAAGCGGGACAGAATGTTGGACGGGGTTGTTTGCTTAGACTGATGAACAGGCTCGGACTGTGGGCAGGACGGGCCAGACTGTGGAACACTGTTGGAGTAGCAAGACCGGCACAGGGTAAGTATGGTGGTGACTGGTTAGGTGGATAAACTCGCACGATCGTGGGTGACTGAGACTGCCGGCCTAATGAAGCCGACTCAGACTAGGGAACAGTCGCGTGCGAGCCCGAGTGCACGACGGGTCCGGACCTTTTCGACTGCGGCGCTGCATGATGTGTGATCGCCGGCCTGCGCGGGCGGGAAGACAGGTCTGCGTTGCCATTGTTGCAGGCGCTAACCTCCGGCGGAAACCAGACAAATCCGCCGTCGGCAGTACTCTGGTGCGAAGTTTTGCCGGCGCCAACCGTAGTGGGCAGTCTGCGTTACTCGTTTGACGAGACATTGAATGTTGGTCAGTGCGTCACGTGTTCTTGCCCTTGTTGACGTAACGTCCGTGTGTCTGATGTGACACGCCCTCTCCGGCGGCAGGCGACGACGCCGGCGGCGGGCGAGAACCGCTGGTTCTGCTACACGTCGCTGGTGCAGGTGGACCGGTTGGTGGCGGCGCTCGCTGAGAAGGGCGAGCGCGAGTCGGCGCTGCGCGGCGCGCTGGCCGGCATTCGCGCTCATCTCGTCAGCACGCTGCCGGCATGGTGAGGGGGCGGGTCTACAGTGGTCGGCTGACGGGTGGCGTCGTTTTGCCGGGCGGTGCTAGGCTTCATTTACATCCCCCGCAGGGGCACCGGCTTCGGTCAGTGTATGGGACTAGCGCCCCCTCGGGTCCCAGCTCCGGTAACGGGTGGACAGCGCAAGCTGTGCCTCTCAGGGCGTAGCGACGCTGCCGGTACGTGAGCTCCTGCTCCTTGTCCCGCCCGCTCCCTCCACATTACCCGCACTCTCGCATCCGACCCTATCACCACTCCTCATCCTCGTTTTATCGGGGTCGCCGTGCCCCCTCGTCCGCGTCCCCGGGTTGATCGGATCCTTGTGGCTGAGGGGCGCGTCGTGCGGGTCAGTCACCGCGCGTCTCAACACTCCACTTTGGCCAGGATATCCGGGGCGTGGGGGGCCTGTGGGGCCCCACACGGGTCTAGCGGCTTGTCGCTCGCGTCGCGGTTGGGTGCTCCTTGCGGATCTCCGCTTCGGGCGCCTGGCCGCGCGCAGCGGCTTAAGGGTTCAAGAGACGGCGGTGCTGAACCACGGTCAGGACGGGGAGGGGTCTCCCCGGTTGCACCTGGCCGTGTGGGAGGCGGCGTTCGCCCCGTATAACACCGGGGTAGCCCTGACGGCACCACCACCACCTGGGTGAGTGGGCCGTCCCCCAGTTGGGCTCCGAGGTGGGTGGGGAGCCCCGGTGCTGAAATTAACAATTAAACTGCATGTCATCTACAACCCCTCCCCCCCGGGGGGGGGGGGGGGGGACGGACTGCGGTGAATTTAGGGCGCAGCGAGGAGTCGCTTCCACCTGCCCCACGCGTTCTTGTCTTCCGTAGTGATGTGAAGAACCTGGCATTGCTTTCACCGTTTCAGCGCCGAAACGGATGCGACAGGTTGGGAAAAGTCACCCGCTGTGATAAGCTGGGGGATGGCGCGATCGAGGTGGAGTTCGCAAACGGCACCAATGCGACTCGAGCTATGGCAGCCACTGAATTTGTGTGTGCCTCAAGAACCGAGGGTGGAAAACGAGACGTGAGCGTGCCAGTCATGGTCACACCGCACCACGCGAAAAAAAATTCCCAAAAGGCATCATAAACTGCTATGACCTTCGTGAAGTCAGCGAGGAGGAAATCATTGAAGAGTTTGGAATCTTTGGGGTCGCCGCAGCGCGAACGATCACGACCAGGAGGGATGATGACCAAATCCATACAAATAACACTATATTGACATTTAACCGGCCTGATCTACCTTCAGATATCCGCATTCGCCACTCCGGTGTCAAAGTCAGAGTCTTCGTTCCGAATCCGATGCGGTGTTTCCATTGCCAGCGCTTTGGTCACACAAAACCACACTGCCGCAATCGAGCTGTCTGTGGGAAGTGAGCATCTTACAAGCATTCAGGAGACTAGTGTACTTCTGTGCAGCCCTGGTGCGTGAACTGTGGCACGGGGCAGATACCGCACACAACTTTCGATCGAAGTTGTCCAGCCTTCATGAAGGAAAATGAAATTGTGTCACTCAAAACTTCAAAGAACATCTCTTTCCGCGAGGCGTGTGAACAGTATGAGGCATATCACCGCAAAGTATCGTATGCCGAACAATCCAAAACCCCTGTACTACAGTCCACCAGCATCAATCACATGTCAGCGGTCCAATTCACCGCGCTCCTGCGATCCTTCGGTTTGTCTCTGGTGCCGGCGGGACGGGTGACTCCCGCTCAGTCAGATCCTCCGGGTTCTTCAGCTGCGTCCTGCTCGACCAACGCTGTGCCGCCGGCCCCTCAGGTGTCGTCGGGGTCGCTAGCGGGGGAGGAGGAGGGATGGACGTTGGTCAAGCGCGGCCATGATCCGCGGGCTCGGCCGTCCTCGCCGTCTGGCACCCTGCCGCCCTCGTCGCCCCCGGCGACACTGACGAGTGCGTGTGGACGGGCAGTGGAAACGATGGAACGACACGAAGCAGACAGGCGCGCCCGCGACGCCAAGCGGACCCGCTTGGCGGAGTTGAAGAGGGCTAAGGCGGCTAATCGTTCGTCCGGTGGAAGCAAGGAGCCCGTCCCTCGCAGTGGTACACCATCGCCGAGAAGGCCAGTGGGGGCCCCCGCCGACCCCCAGACGTGCGGTAGAGGCCCGCCAATGGGCCCTCCCCCGCCGCCACCCCGGACTGGGCTCGCTGGCGTGAAGCGTGCCCCGGCCGGTCCCCCGTCTCCATCTGACGGAGGAAGCCCCAGGATTCGTCCCAGAGTGGGGCACGTTCCTGCAGAATCGAGCCGTGGCTCTCAGTCTGAAACGTCTGCTCCTGCAACGGGCGCAGCCCAGTTCGTTTAGGACGTGTCCGGTTTTAGTATATGACCTCCAACCGCCTTTTTAATACTCTCCCTTTACAGGCCTTTTTACAGTGGAACTGTAGAGGAATAAGGGCGAATGCCCTGGACCTCCAGGCTGTCGTCGGCAAGCACCGTCCTGCAGCCGTAGCGCTGCAAGAGACCAAGCTGGCTTCTATTCACCATTGCACACTGGAGGGCTACGCCCTGTTTCGCAACGATGTGTTAACTGACGGTATCGCACACGGCGGTGCCCTCTTTGCAGTGCACCACAGCGTGTCAGCCAGGAGGTTTAACCTGCGATCTACGCTACAGGCTGTGGCCGCACGCCTACATTTTAATCACCGTTACATCACGGTGCGTTCGTTATATCTTCCACCTGGCGTCGCTTTTCCATTGGAAGAGATGAGACGCTTAGTGCATGAGTTACCTTCATCATGTCTTCATTTAGGCGACTTCAGCGCTCATCACACTGCGTGGGGCTGTGATAGCACGAACACCCGTGGAAGGATTTGCGAGCATTCTATCCATGACTTGTCACCGTGTATTTTAAACACAGGGACTTATACCCATTTTACACTTCCGTCTGGTCAGACTTCCGCGCTGGACTTGAGTCTTTCTAGTCCCGAGCTGGCGAGAGCCTCGAGGGGTCTGTGTCAGATGATCCAATGGGCAGCGGTCACTTCCCAGTGTGGCCTGGATTCCAGATAAGGGGAACGTTGGGTGTAAGACCACGACGTTGGAATTTAAAAAAGGCTGACTGGAGTGAGTTTGAGGCTCGACTGGAGACATTGTGTCAAACCGGAGGTGAGAGGGCGGCACCCTCAATTGAGGATTGTACTCACCGACTTCTAAATCGCGCTAGCGATTACATCCGCACTTCTGGATTTCCCCTCTATGCTGCTATGCCGTGGTGGACAGAGAAGTGTCGTGACGCAATTTGCGCTCGCAAACGTGCTTTCCAAACATTTGACGCCAGAAGTACCCTGGAGAATTTAGGAGCTTTTAAGAAGGCGAGAGCTTTCGCCCGTCGTACGATAAAAGAAGCCAAACGTGATTCCTGGCGTGTGTAAGCACGCTTAACTGGTTCACGCCAACTTTGCAGGTTTGGGCTCGGAGCAAGCGCATCTCTGGGCGGTCGTCATCCGTGCCACTTCCTGTGCTACATGTTAACGGCCAGGTGGTGACTCATCCGTTAGATGTGGCTAACGAGATCGTCCGAGCACTCTCCCACCGTAGCGAAGGTGCAAACACGAGCCCACAGTTCTTGCAGCAAAGAGCACAATGCGAAAAAATCGTGGTGGACATTTTCACAAGGCAACCACAGGCGTACAGTGAGCCCTTCACTTTGGTGGAGTTGGAGTTGGCAATCGCAAAGCTTCTTAGTGTATCGGAAGGTCCTGATGACATCCGCAGTGAGATGCTCCGACATTGCCACCGTGTGCACGTCCTGTGCTATTGGCGGCCTTCAACAGGGTGTGGTCAAGTGGCGAATTCCCTCCGGCCTGGCGGGAAGCTGGTGCCTTTTCTAGAACCGGGAAAGAGTGGGATGGGCCCTCTTCATTACCGACCCATTTCACTGACGTCATCACTGTCCAAGCTCATAGAAAGGTTGGTAAACGTTTGACTGACTTGGTTTTTGGAGAACAACGATATTTTGAGTAACTCGCAGTGCGGGTTTAGGAAAAACCGTAGTACAGTGGACCACCTTTTAGCTTTGGGCACCACGGTTCGTAACGCTTTTCAAGTGAAAGCACATATGGGGACAGTGTTCTGTGACATTGAAGCCGCCTATGACACCACATGGTACCATGGCATTGTTCAAAAGCTTTTTGAATATGGTATACGTGGCCATATGGGTATTTTTCTCCAAAGGTGTTTAGCCAAACAATATTTTCGTGTTCGGGTCGGCAACGTCCTCTCCGATAGGTACCAACAAATAAATGGCGTGTCCCAGGGCGGCGTGTTAAGTGTAGCGCTGTTCGCAGTTATGATAAATGATATTTGTGATGTGCTCCTCCAATCGGTCGGACGTGCCCTTTTTGTTGACGATTTTACTATCTGGAGCAGTGCAGGGAGGGCACCAGCGATGGAACGACGTCTCCAGCTGGCTGTGGACCGCGTTGAAAGATGGAGTGACATGAACGGGTTTCGTTTTTCAGGCGACAAGACCGTTGCGATGCATTTTTGTCGTCACCAGCGATGTGATGACCTGGGTATCCGTCTATATGGTCGCACTATTCCAAATAAGGTCGTGGCCAGGTACCTTGGGATGCACTTTAACCGCCGCCTTACATGTCATGCACATCTTGAAATGTTACGCGATCGCTGATTACTTAAGTGTGTGGCTCGCACATACGGGGGAGACAGAAGCACGCTTATGCTTTTATATCGTTCACTCGTCCGCTCCAAACTGGATTATGCATGCTTTGTGTATGATGGCGTGTCTGAATCCAGCAAGCGTGTTCTTGGTACCGTCCACCATACTGTCATTCGTATTGTTACTGGGGCGTTCCGCACATCACATTCCGTCAGCCTTTTAACGGGGGCACACGAGCCACCACTTTCGACGAGGGTGAAAGTGGTCGGCATACGTTATGCCTTGAAGCTGCGGCAGTTCCCATTTCATCCGACATATTCTGCAGTATTGTCTCGGTTTGCCGTAAGTTCCTTTCGCCATGGGCCGCAGCAGCATGCTTTAATTTTTGGTTTCCGAATGAGAGCCTTATTGCTCGAGGGCGGAATTCCTCTTCGAGGTGTGAAGCAAGTAAACCACCTGGCTTCTCCTCCTTGGCAAGTGACCAGACCCTTCATTGACACCTCACTTATGGAAATTGGGAAAAAAGACGTCACACCACACCTTATGAGATCCAGGGCACTTGAGCTTTTGGCGTGTTATGAAGCATACACTCTGACGTACACAGACGGATCCAAAACCTCGGATGGCGTGGGTTGTGCTTCCGCCAGCGGCTCCGTCACTCGATCGTTCTCGTTACCGGCCCACTCGTCAGTTTTCACAGCGGAATTAATTGCGATGACCAAGGTGATATGTTTCATAGAAGTGGGTGAAGAACCTTCACACGCCAGTTTTACAGATTCACTGAGCAGTCTCTCTGCACTGAAGTCCTTTTGTCCGTCATGTCCCCTCATACAGGACATTTATCACGCCTGACACAGTTGAATCGGGCTGGAAAGAGAGCTGCCCTGTGCTGGATCCCCAGTCACGTCGGTATCGTGGGCAACGAGTTGGCTGATGCCGCTACTAAGCGAGCACCGGTGGCACCATATACCCGTTTTTGCCTATCCCTGCCAGAGATTTATACCCGGCAGTCAAGACCTTCCTGAAAAGCAAATTGCAGCGTTGTTGGGACCAGATGGGCTGCAATAAGCTCAGGGTGATAAAAACCGAGTGGGGCTTGTGGTCGTCATGCCTTCGTAGTGTGGGGTGGGAAGAAGTGGCTTTATGCAGGTTGCGTATTAGGCATACATATGCCACCCATGGCCATCTGTTGCATGGAGCCGACAGACTCCTATGCCAGCAGTGTGGTGCCGTTCTCACCGTCCACCATGTCACTGTATCATGTCCATGCCTCGTCGAAGAACGACGACGTCACCGGTCCGCAGGCTTCGCCCCTGACGATTAGCGATGTGCTCGGGGACAGCTCCTCCCTTATTGATTCCAAACAACTCTTCGTTCTTAAAAGATATCGATTTTCAAGTCATTTTCACACGATACTAATTAAGTAAAAGCATCGTTATGGGCGCAAAATGACTATTTCAGTCGACGCGCCCGAAAGCACCAATTAATAACAAATTGAAGGTTCCTCACTTGTATCACGTTAAAAAGTTTTTTTCTGATAAGGATCTTTCAAAACGAGTGAGCATGTGATTTTTTGGCGTGGATAAGCAGCCTATCGCAAATATTTTTTGCTGCCACGGTTTGAGACGATTTTGATCGCTAGGTATCGTGCAGGTCTCCATTAAGCAACGTGACGGCTGGGCGAAATATACATTCCACCAAAATTAGTGGTGACTGTCCCAAGACGGCTTCAGCGCGAGTTCAAGTGTCGCCCGTGATCTCGGACTGACACAAAACGCCAAGGAAGGGGTCATGTGTGCAATCTGAGCAGAAGACCATTGTAGTCGACGCGCCCAAAAACACCAATGAACAACAACAAAGCTTCATTTACATCTCTGCCGGTGTGTGTGTGTGGGATCCTCCTCGCCCCCTTGAAGGGTTTGCGAAAACGTGTTCCAACGATTGTTCGTCACGGCCACGTATCGTTCCACGCGCAGATAAGTCCGTCCTCTCGAGTAATATTGTTATCACGTTCATCACCGGTACTTTCGGCTGGATTTGGCCTGGGCCTGGGTTTGGTACAGTAATGTTTCAGTCGTGCGTGTCGTGTTTCAGTGATTCAGTACCTGAGCAGAGTCTGCTGGTTGCGGCGTCCGAACAGGGGACTGCTGTGGCGGCGGCCACTCCTGCCAAACGCGCAACCGAAGGCACGGCCGACAACTCGGTGAAGCTCGAGCCTGATGTGGTCGCTGCCGGAGAAAACAAGGCGAGCGCAGGCGTGGAGACCGACCCGGCCGTCCAGGCGGACGCAGGCGCCTTGACGGCCGGGAATGGGGCCGACACGAGAGCCGAGTCCAAGGCGGACGACGAGACCAAGCCGGCAGCGGCGGCGAAGACGGAGGCCGACGGGGCGGCGCCGGAGCTGTCCTGTCGCCAGTTCCTGCTCGGCACGCTGAAGGAGGACATCCTGAGCATCGAGGAGGAGCTGTCTGAGGGCTGGCTGGGCGCCGTGCCGGGGCCGGCCGACTGGGCCGCGCGCGTTCTCTCGGCCGACTCGCCCGCCCAGCTGGCCGACACGGTGCTCGAGTGTCAGCGTCACATCGACCGACACGCGCTACAGGGCCTGATGGCGCCGGGGCCGACCGGGGGCGGCGCCCCCTCGGCCAGCGAGATACGCTGGCTGCAGGCCGTGCGCCAGTGCCACACCTTCTCGCGGCTGCACGTGCTGGTCGGGCTGCTCGACTCGTCCATCAAGTGGGACCTCTCCACGGCCACTAAGGTCAGCCAGGGCTGCGGCGCATCCAGCCGTCACCGTCTTGGGGAAGGGAACAGGGAACGGTGATGACAGTTCGGCGGACGGAGCTAATGGCCGTACGCCGTCATGCCGTATGCTGGCCAGCGAGCCAACGTGTGCAAACACAATCGCTTCGTCTCCAATGTGTTTCGTTCGTGCTGCGCCCTTGGTTCTTCTGACCGTTTTCTTGACCGTGTGCCCGGCAGAAGTGCAAGGTGTGCCGCAAGCGGGACGCGCGGCCCATGTCGCTGTGCGCGCTCTGCAAGCAGCTGTACCACTGGACGTGCATGCGGCCGGCGCTGCAGGAGATGCCCGCCGCCGACTGGAGCTGTCCGGCCTGCCGACCGCGCGAGCAGCGCAGCTGCCGCCAGCGCGCGCGCCGCCAGCCGGCCGTCGAGCTGCCCGAACAGGTCAGCGGCCGGTGGCCCACTCGTCGAATCCCGGGCGGATGCAGTCCATGGCGTCGCTCTTCAGCACTGTTCGGGTGCAGTTCAGGACGGTGCCGTGCTTCGTGGGTGGGCTCCAGTGCAGGGGCCACTGCTCAGCGCGACGGGGTGCGGTTGGAGAATGTTACTTGGTAAAGCTAGTGTATTGGTGCAGTCTGGGTGGTACCGCTCAACACAGCTGACGTGATGGTTCAGTCCAGGAAAACCACCCATACCCGCTGTGCTGTAGTCTCGGACTGCCATGCTGGACATTGTGGGAGTAGTGGTGCAGTCCGGGGCAGCACTGCTGAGCACGGCATAGACGGGGACGGAGGCGGCACTGATCATGGTTGATCAACCATGATCATGTGGTGCCGGTAGTGTAGTGGTTAGCGCGTCTGCGTTGGCTACTGCGCGTCTGGGAAACCAGAGGTACGGGGTTCGATTCCCCGCGGTGCCCGCCCTTCCCGCCAGGGTGAGAGACAGGCGACGCCATATAGCCTCAGCAGCTGAGCGCGTCGTAAAGCCCCAATCACACACACAACCATGATCATGGTTGCGGTCCGGTGAAGTACTGCACAGCGGAGCTATAATGGTGATGATGCAGGCTGAGCAGCACTGCTGAACATTCTTGGTGGGATGTCTGGACCAGTGGTGGCGGTGAAGACGTGTGCGCAGTCTTGAACAGTGACGGCCGAGCAGTGTCGGCACTGACTGTGTTCGTGGTGGCGGCGAAGACGTGTGCGCAGTCTTGAACAGTGGCGGCCGAGCAGTGTCGGCACTGACTGTGTTCGTGGTGGCGGTGAAGACGTGTGCGCAGTCTTGAATAATGACGGCCGAGCAGTGTCGGGACTCACTGTGTTCGGTCTCAGGAGGAGGAGGAACAGGAGGAGCCTCTGCCGAAGAAGGAGGACGTGTGCCGTGTGTGCCAGTCGACCAACGAGGACGAGATGATCTTCTGCACCCGGTGTCCGGCGGCTTTCCACAAGACGTGTCACGACCCGGCCGTGCTACTGCGCGTCAGGTGGGTGGTGCCAGCACCCGGCAGTGCGCATGAATCCAGCCGGTGAGGCGGCTGAATATGCAATAAGTACATGCAATTGCTTCGTCGTCGTGCGAGTTATCTGCGACGGTGCGTCACTTAAGGCAAGGCGCTGGCCGTTGTCAGCGCAGCGAGCAGGTCAGGAATCACGCAATGGTCGGAGGAAGGAGCCAGCAGTCCTTGTGAAGTTGGTTCGATGGCGAAATGATTGGAGGCCTGCACGTATAGTGGTGTCGCTGCCGCTGGCTTACCTTTTGTGTGAGACGCCGGCACGCTGTTTGACGACGTGTGCGCCTCGTCCGCCGCAGACCGGGCTGGGAGTGCATGGACTGCAAGGGTGCCCCGAAGAAGCGCCGAGGTCGCGGCGCCTCGCAGCCGCTGCCGTCGGCCCTGCTGCGCGCAGCCCGCGCCGGGAGCGGCGACTCGCACGACGAGGACGAGGAAGCCGCTCATGAGGAGGATGGCGCCGAGGGCGAGGGGGAAGAGGAGCCCGCGGTGGCGGAGGAAGCTGCTCGCGAGGAGGACGACGCGGAGGAGGAGGAGGCAGCTCCGCGAGCGCGGGCGCGACGGTCGGCCGGCCGATCGCGCCCCGCCGGTCGGGCGGCGCGCCGCCGGCCGCTGTTCAGCAGCGAGTCGGAGGACGAGCGTCACATCCGCCAGCTGAGCTCGGATGAGGAGAGCTGGGCGCCGCGGGCGCGGCGCAGCTCCGCCAGCCGGCGCACTGAGGTGCGCCACCGCTGCCGCCGCCAGCCGCGCAAGACCTACCAGGAGCGCGAGGAGAGCGACCTGGAACCGAGCGCGCCGGGCTCGCCGACCGGCGCGGCCGCCGCACCGGACACGCCTGAGCCGCCGGCGCGGCCCTCGCCCAGCAAAGTGGAGCTGGTGAGTGGCACGCTCTGTGGCTGTCGGCGTGGGAGGGGAGCGACTTTTTGAGTAGACCGGGGCTCGCCCGGAAGGCTGACCTCAGAGCGGGGCTACGATCGACGGCCCCTTTTGAAAACGGCGCCGGATTCGTGGCGTCGATTGTCCTTTGCTATGGAACTATGTGCTGTAAGTGGGCATTGCCTGCGGTTTAGAACGAATCTAGACTTAAGTGTAGTGTAAATTAGCAGAGGAGGGATCGGCAGCCTCTGGTGCCGAGGCTGATGTGTAGTCAACCTTCATCCCATGCAGCTGTCAGCAAGCTTGTGTGGAGCTCGGTATCCAGGCTCTGTCTGGAGAGAGCGTGCTGGCCAGTTCGGGGACGGCTGCGCTTTAATGGGCAGCCTGAGGCCCCCAGAGGTCGGCTGGAGTGTACGGTACTGATGGCTCGCGGCGTAAGGAACCAGCGCCGCCGTGCAGCGTCCGTGACACTGCCGCCGCTGCCGCCGCCAGATCCAGCAGGCTGGCGCAGTCTGCATGTACTGCGACCAGCCGCGCACGCGCCGGAACGAGCTGGCCGTGTGTCAGTCGTGCTCGAACCTGTACCACCGGCGGTGCGCGGCGCGCGCCGGCCTTGTCGACGCCTGGCAGTGCTCGGTGTGCGTCATGCCGGCCGTGCACCGCTCCAGGCCCGTCAAACCACCCGTGAGCGAGGTGAGAGTCGATGACGCCGGCGGCGGCCCGCCGTCGTAAACTGATACGGTGAAGCCAATGTGGAAGTCTTCTGTTCCGTTTACAGACTTGTGTGGACCGTGAGCTCGACTCGGTATGAGGTGGGCCGCTGTTGCCGCTCGGGGCCGCTTTGCGCGGCTGGCTGTTGCCATCGTTGGGGCTATGGCCCTCCGCCGCAGTGTGCGGATGGATGGGCCCGCCTGGATGGTGTGCGCGTGGGCGACGCTTCGATCGCCCCGGCCGTGCCCGGGTCGGCGTGACGCTCTGGTCTGTCGTGTACTGCCAGCGGCGCTGCCCCCCCCCCCCCCCCCCCTGATGCCGGCCGGCTCTGTTTCAGGACTTCGAGTACGACGAGTGATGGCCGCTGGCGCCGTTAGATTATTTTCGTACAGCTCGTGTAGCCGGCGGATGCGCGTGCCGGCTGGGAGGCCCGCTGTCCGCCGCCGGCGTCCGCCCGCTGCACGGCGACACCACCGCCGCCGCCGCCGCTGCCGCCGTCGCCGTCTGTTGTCGTTAGCGGCGAGCTGCCGCCGCCTGTTGTCCGTCTCCCTGTAGTGTTTTAGTCCGCTGTAGCCCTCAGTCTCGCCGTTTAGGTTCCCGCGCACAAGGTCGGACTGTCCCGGAGCCAAGCGAACAGTGATCCTTCTAGATGAGTTGCACATCCGTAGTCGGTGTAAGGCCTATTTAATTGATATTCCCCCATGCTCTGGCAAATACATGACTTCTGGTTCAGTGTCCGGGTATGGAGTGCAACACAGTTCGTGGCTGCTCTGTATTGTATCGAAAACGGCAACCACGGAAAGAACACGAGGCAGAAAGTGCGCAGCACGGGCCCTGCAAGGCTAAAGATCACGGCACAACATGCCACGGTGTCAGCGTGGCTCCAGTCAAGTTTGGCTCACATAAAATAAAAGCAGTGTGCCATGCAGTGGAGCGAATGCTGGATCTCAGAAAATAAGATATGGAGGTATTGTGAGCGCGTCATTCCATATCAGATTTAAATGATCGCTGCGATTCACATGATTTTGAAGGCACATTTAGGAAGCGGGCGGTATAATGAAGGCACTTGTTTTAAACGTGTGTCGCCGTATCACCGCTGCCAGCTTTATTTGATCATTGCCGCCGAGTGCTGCCAAAGTACCCCACAGAGACCCGCTGGGCTAAAGATCGTCTCGCACAATCACCGCAAGTAGCTCCGTTTCTCGCGCCCGGTGCTGCGGTAGGAGGGCGAGCACGCGTCGGTCGGGCATCGAACTCCGAGCGTTCGGGGGACTGGCTCCGGCTGTGGTCCCGCCGGCCGGGCGTCATTCCCCTGCATTCATTGCGGCCCGTCTTCACCACCCAGCGGACCGCCTGCCACACACTTCCGATAATTAACTACAAAACTAGCTGTCGGGATTAGTGCCCGCACTCCGAGTGCCTCGGTCCGCAATAACCCTACCGTGGTGCCCGCATCGTGCGGAGGGCCTGTCGAGCGCCGGGCGCGGAGGCACGCGTGACGTCACGGCGGAGGCACGACGGACGTCACGGCGGAGGCGCGACGGACGTCACGGCGGAGGCACGACGGACGTCACGGCGGAGGCGCGACGGACGTCACGGCGGAGGCACGACGGACGTCACGGCGGAGGCACGACGGACGTCACGGCGGAGGCACGACGGACGTCACGGCGGAGGCACGACTGATGCCACTGCGTATTGCACAAGATATACTTTTGTGCGTTCTGCTGTTCGCAGGCCTCGTATAAAAATAAATCAACGCAGGTTCTGATAATGAACGATGTGTATGCATATATCACAATATCAGGTGGCTCCTCCCTGGAGCGCTGGTGTCATCTGGTACCCACCGAAAGGATAGCGCGAAGCGACGGTATATGATGCATTGGTGTGAAACCACCTAGCCCACTTGTAAAAGAGTAAAGGTGCGCACTAATTGGGAGTCGACGGGAGCAGTTTTATGAGATATATAAAAAATAATTCATCTGGCGCACCGCGACACGCTTTAAAAAGTTCACCACGTGCAGCGCGTCGAGGCGCGATTTGAGCGATTGCAAACAGCCATTCCGGTAAAATGCTCTGGAGTGCAGGCTATCGTTCCAGAGCCCGTGCTTGGAGCCGGGACCCACGGCTACAAAAGTGCGGCTCATAGCCCGCGGTCCTGCCACACAGTTCAGAAAGGGGTCGGAGTGTGGACACCAGGACGCCACCGGGAAGCCAGCCGTGTGGGCCGCCGGCAGACGCTGGTTTGTACTCTTCTGCCGGGCGGCCATCTTGGCCTGGCCTGGCCTGGTCCGCTCGGCGCCGGCGACGGCTGACCCGACCGCGCGCCGCGCCCCTGCCAGGCCGGCTGGCACCCCTAGCGGCGCCGCTCAGCAGTGGCCGTTGGTCGGCTTGTGCGGCTCGTTGAGCAGCAGCGGCGGCAGCAAGCGCTTGCCCTTGACGAGCGGCTCGAGCCCCTCGCCGGCGTACGAGACGAGCGGCGAGATCTCGCAGATGATCGGCTCCTCGCCCTTCAGCCAGGCCTGCTGACTGTAACGACAAGGTCGGCCGGGGTCAGAGGCGCCGTCGCACAGGTCCGCAACGGGTCATGCTAACCGGGACGGTAGGATCAGGATCACAGAAGTCATCAGCCAGGACTGCTGACTAACGAGAACAGGGGTCATCAATCAGAACTGCTGGCTGTAACGGCAGGGCCAGGCTCGCAGGCGCCATCACGGAGGTCCACAACCAGGCCTGCCGGCCGTAGTGACGGGGTCGGTGTCGCGGGGGTCAACAGCCTGGGCTGCTTACAGCAGCAACAGAGCGGTGTCACGCCCAGATGATTGGCGACGGGACGAATGAGCGCCAGACGTCACTGATAGCGTGCGCTCGTGGTACGCCCGGTGCGGCCGACCTTGTCCATTTCCGATGAGGGGCGCCAGTGGCGGTGACCCGCGCCCGCCCGCCGGTGAGGCCGACCTTTGGCTGCCGGATGTCACCCAGGAGATAACGAATCCCAGAGATCGCCGATAGCGAGTGGCATGACGACATCTCGAGACGCGTGGGCGTGGCAGGAGGGGGTGGTACTCACGCCTCGTTGTTGTTCGCCTCGTCTCCGTTGATGGCCGCCGGGCTGCCGGATGGAAGCTGTGTGTTAAAGTAGGAGACGGCGGGTCTGGTAGTGTAGTGGTTAACGCGTCAGCGTTAACCACTGCGCGTCTGGGAAACCAGGCGTACGGGGTTCGATTCCCCTCGGTGCCCGCCTTTCCCGCCAGGGTGAGCGGCAAGCGACGCCATATAGCCTCAGCAGCTGAGTGCGTCGTTAAGTCCCAATGACATAGGAAACACGGCAAGCAGCCATGAAAATCACACGTTAGTGCGACAGTTGTGAACATGCAGACGGAGATAAAGATGTTTTATGCACAGGCTGGGCACTGGCACGCGCTAGCGCTGAGCAGATGAACGACACGAGTATGCGATCGCACTGCGGAGCATATCAACATAGGCAGTGGAGTCTACAGCTGTCAGGCTTCAGTGACCTGCCGTGGGAGAATGAAGCATGCCATCGGGACCAGCGGGTCACGCTCACACGAAGTGATTAGCTGCACGTTGAAGGAGGTGGGCCAGCCTGTTAGGTAAACAGATATCACGCAGGGGCTTGCTGACCGAAGTTAGAGAAAGACAGATCAAATATGCTCTGGAAACGGAAAGACAATGTGAAGAGAGCGTAATAGAGAGAGATGGACAGAGAGGGAGGAAGTCTCGACGGACGGCGCTAAACGCTACTGTATGAAGAGGGTCTTTAACTGTGACTGAGACATAGTTCGGTTTCCAAGAACCGAGCAAGCCACTGATTGGTGTCACATGATTTGGTGACGGCCCCGAGTATTAGGCCGCCCGGGGTCGGTCCGGTCCGGTCCGCTCACCTGGGCATCAGCGGGATCGGCTCGCCGAGCTCGTCCACGAACTGACCGCCGGCGGCCAGCACGTAGCGCTGGTGGAGCGAGCAGAGCGCCAGCCGGGCCGTGGTGGGCGTGTCCTTCTCGGCGCCGTCGGCGTTCTTCAGCGGCGAGAACTCGTCCTCGCGCAGCACCTCCCACACGGCAAAGTCGCTGCCCGGGAACGGAGACAGTGAGCGACGCATGGACGAGTACAACACTTGGAAACGTAATGATAGCTTGAGGCACTAGTGACGCTGTTACTTCCGCTGTCACTCGCCTGCCTTCGGAGGTTAACAATCTACGGTTTGACAAGAAACAAATCGAGACAATAGCTGTACGTACGGCATGATGCTTGCTTGTGTCTGCTCATGTGCTGTCCGATGCGACGTCATGTGTTTACGTTCACTGAAGCTCCCGTTCTTACACGCAGCGTGGCATGTGCAGTTTCAGATGTTTGACATGGGCTGCTGTGATCCTGCTATCACGCATAACACTCACTCGGTCGGCATAATAAACAAGTCAGGTTCAAGGTTCTGACGATAAGTAGCACCGAGTGTTAACACGCTACCACTAAGGTAATAAAGCAATAAGCATCCCGTCTGGGCGAGATAGCCATTCATGTTAAAGGCTATTCTCACGTAATTGAAACTACTAACCGAGTAAATGGATAATGAGCATGCTGAAGTTACGGAATGGCCGTTCTCGCCTGTACATATAACGTGCTAATGACATGGTCAACAGAACACTGCTGGCTGCTGACAGAGCCCCTGTAGGCGATTCGGATTCAGTTCAGATTCAGGTCCCTTGGCACAACTAGCAGGTGTCAGCGGGCACGCTGATCGCTCCAGAGGCCGCGGCCAGCCGGGCGACTCGCACCCGGCTCGGCGGCCTCGCCACGTACTTGGCCACCTGGAACACGTCGAACACGAACTTCTCCATCTTGATGCCGTTGGGCTTGTCGGGCTTCCGAGTCTGGCCGGTCTCATCCGCGTACGGAATCTTCTTCTTGGCCATGTGGTGCAGCAGCTGTGCCTCGCGTTCGCTGTAACGGTGTTGCAGCCGGTCAGAGAGCGGGCCGATCAGAGGGGCGGTCCGATCAGAACGGCGACCGATCAGAGCGGCGGTACGATCAGAGCGGCGACCCGCTCAGAGCGGTAACCGGTCAGAGCGGCGACCCGCTCAGAGCAGCGACCGGTCAGAGCGGCGGCCCGGTCAGAGCAGCGGTCCGATCAGAGCGGCGACCTGGTCAAAGCGGCGGCTCGATCAAAGCAGTGCCGCGTCCAGAACAGCGGTCAAAGCGGCGGCCCGGTCAGAGCGGTAGCCAGGTCAGAGCGGTGGCCGTACTCGTAGGCCGCCGGCAGAGGGAGCGTCACACACGACAGAGGTGAGATGCTCCGATGACTGCCAGCATCGACGCGGTGCACACCAGCAGGGGTATTGTCAACACAATAAGCTGCCGTGAACATTATGGATATCGTGATGGACACCGGCCAAATACGAGCAATCATTCGAAGGGCGGCATTTGAGCTCGGGCTGACCGGAGACGGCGGCCGGGATGGTGGGCACTGCGGACAGCCAACACGTCACTCCGGCAGCGCGGCCTGTGAGACCTCGGCTCTGACTGAGGGGCCCGGCACCGCACGGACCTGACGACGCTCTCCAGGAACTCGATAGTGAAGAAGTGGTTGCAGATGGAGCCGGCGGCGAACGTGAGCCGACCGTCCGCGTTCCGCTTCTGGGCAGTCTTGAGCGTGATCTCCGAGTACTCCACCACCTGGTAACGGCCGTCCACCTGGCAGACCACGCCCACTGGCTCCGTGGGGAACGCCTTCTCCACCACCTGAGGAAGCCGACCCGGTGCGTCACGGCGCGGCACGGCACGGCGTGGCATGGCACGGCGTTGGACGTGGATGGCACGTCAACGTGCGGGTCGCCACAGCAAGACACGGCATGTCATGGCACGTCGGCACGGCAGCGATAACACGGTATGACACGGCACAGGTCTGGGCGTAGACGACACAAGAGGTGGCGCGACAGAGCATGCATGTCCCGGAACATCACAGCGCAGTGCGGGACGGCACACCCACGGCACGACGCCAGATATTCGAGACTTTCCCTGTGAAAGCGGAGTTAGTGGTACCCACTGCGACTGCTCGAGCGTGCCCAAACTTCAGGGAACACACCTATGACGTACACTCTATTTCGAGCCGTGTAGAAGAGAGAAGAAAGGGCGGGTCGGGTAGCGTGCACCTGGGCCATGGCATCGGGAGTAGGCCCAACCGCAGCCCACCGTAGCCTTACAAGGAAAAACTGAACACAAGGTTATGTACGGGATGGAGTTCTCGGAGATCCGCTGAGTAGTGGTGTGAGGCATTCATGAAGGTCTTTTCGCTGGTTGTTGGCCTGCGTGCCGCGGTTGTACAGGGTGCGAGGAAGCTCGTACAAGAAACGTTCGCCTGATATTGTGAGGTTAACCCTCGTCACTCTTTACGGCATAGAGACTAACAACCATTAAGAAAAGAGGTCTATCGAGCTCACAAGACGGCTCGACGTTGACGGGTCTGAGTCATGCCGACTTGACATGAACACTTTTTAGAGGAACAGCGTCGAAGGAAGGTTCATTTGGAGCCTTGTGGCAATATTGTCATCAAATAACGGACGCTTTATGCAGACGGTTCTTTCATCATGTCGTATCTCACTCAAGGCATATCGATATTCGACTCCGAGACCGTGTTGACGCACCAGGATCGTATAACTAATCCCACCTGGCGTGACCAAGCTCCGCCGCTCCGGCGCTGTCTCTTGACGGCCAGATAAAGGATCATAAAGGTCGGCGCCGGACGTCATCAGCGCCCCGCTGGCCCTGCGAGCTCAACCCATGATAATAAAAAAGCACAGAGTCCACAGGTCTTGATCAGGGCCCACAAGGTGGGATCGGAACGTCAAGGTCAGGACTCGGTCAGGTGATAGGAAGCAGAATGAGGGGACGGCACCGAGGGAGGTCATGGTGTATCAGTAGGAAGCAGCTTGACGTTCTAAGGTCAGCCTGGGGAGTAGATCAGCAGTTGATAGTGATTAGCATGCGCCCGGATGGCCGGTTGAATGCCTTTCGCTCGGGTCGGGGGAGGGTAATTTGACCCTCCTGAGATCTCAGGAACGAAGAGGGCTAGAGTCACCAAATTCACAGTGTGTTGGCCTGCACGCGAACTCACTTGGGTTAAAGTTTGAGCTTCCTAGTTCATGACCTTCGGGTCAAATAAAGTCGAAGAAGGTCAGACTCCAAGTTGACCTCTAAATTGTCCCCAGAACCTAGATACCTCTTCAAAGCAAAAAGTTGCATGCTTATTCAAGGTCAGTGACCTTGTTTGACCTTTCAAAAGCAACGGCGATCAACATAATAAGAGACTGCTTTGAGTTTTGCAGTCGAATACACGGCACAGACTAAGCTAGGCAATATGCTCCTATAAAAGGAAATGTTGACCGGGGTCATTTTAGATCAGTGACCTGTCGTGACCTATAAGAAACCCATGGAAGATTTCCTATGCGGTTCCCGTGATAAAAAATTCGAAATGCTCACCAGAAACTCGACGTTGAAACTCACGAAACTCACGAAAACCCCAAACAGCAGGCCCCAGAGTAAAAAATAGGTTGGTTTTGACCTTGGTCTGACCTTCATATTTGACCCCAGGTCACTGTAATTTGTTCAATCAATTATTATGCTGCCTAAGAAGAAAGTATTTTAGAGATGTATGGCTTCCTCTAGCACTCCGTTGTCTCATAGATTAAACAATTCCGTTGAAATTGACTTCGCTAAATCCATGGCCTGACTTTTACCTGCCGGGGGCTAGTGATGTTACAAGGCATATGCAATTTTTCTGATATCACACGATCCGCTATTAAATTGCCTACAGCTATGCAAAATTTGGCGTGGCTACACCGCGTCGTTCGGAAACCATTCCGGAAAAAGCCTCGTGGGAGTCAATTTGACCCCTACTCGAGGGCGTGTTTAAGTGATACGCGTGCCATGTCAGAAGCTCTGTGGATAGAGGATATGGAATCAAATATAACATTCTCGAGGACAGGAAGCAAATACAGTAATCCGATTTAACACCTTAATCATGGTCTGTCTAGTGTACTTCAAAGTGCTTTTAGACTGCCTCCGAACCGATTTAGAAACTTATAGACTATGGTATCAAGAGACCTGTAAGGACTGAGCAACAATAAGATGCCCAAACGAAGTGCGCGGCAAACGTCACACGCAATCACACCAGGACCACATTAGATTAATGTTATAGTCTTCGCATCGCCATCGCAATCCTTTAGACCGTATTTCATGTAAAGCATAACGGATCTCTTATGGCATACCGTGCGGCTAGCAGAGGTGTGGTCAGCGTGACAAGGCGAGAGTTATGTTCACGCAGTACACTCGTGCGAGGCAGTGCGCCAGCAGGCAGACGGTTACGTGCGAGGAAAGCATATGAAAAGCACATATGCGTTGCTTTAAGCACATACAGAGAGGCCCGCGTGAGCTCTCGCTCCGCTGAGCACCCAGGTGCATTGCTTGCAAGATATGTATGACACGTGCCGCTTGTGACTTAGCAAAGTGGCAGCAACGGGTAGAACTGCGGCTTTAACGTCATGCCCTTCCGCTACAGTGGAGGGCGTTTGAGAGGCGAATAACGTCCGACTCTTGACGTCATGCCGTGTGCCTGTTCGACCTATGCATCGTTGCAAGGGAAACGGAAAACCTACATCTGCCCACACCTGACAGTCTAATGGAGGAAGAGACATGACTGGTGATGAACAGGAGCCGGATGGGGAGCCGAGTGGAGCCGGGTGGGGAGCCGGATGGGGAGCCGGATGGGAAGCCGCGTGGAGCCGGGTGGGGCAGGATGGGAAGCCGCTTGGGGCCGGGTGGAGCCGGATAGGGAGCCGGGTGGGGAGCCGGGTGGAGCCGGATGGAGCCAAATGGGGAGCTGGGTGGGAAGTCGGGTAGAGCCGGGTGGAGCCGGATGGGGATCCGGATGGAAAGCCGCGTGAAGCCGGGTGGAGCCGGATAGAGAGCCGGGTGGGGAGCCGGGTGGAGCCGGATGGAGCCGAATGAGGAGCTGGGTGGGAAGTCGGGTAGAACCGGGTGGAGCCGGATGGGGATCCGGATGGGAAGCCGCGTGGAGCCGGGTGGAGCCGGGTGGGGAGCCGGGCGGGGAGCCAGGTGGAGCCCTGTGGGGAACCGGGTGGAGCCGGGTGGAGCTGGGTGGGGAGCAGGATGGGGAGTCGCGTAAGGAGCCGGATGGGGGGGCCGGGTGAGAAGCCGGGTGGAGCCGGATGGGACTTGGTTCTGACATCCGCGCCAGGCGCTGGCCCCAGTGGACTCACCTTAGCACCGCAGTCGGCACCACGGGAAATGCAGTAGCCCATGAAGACGGGGTCGGCCATCTTCACCAGGATGTTGTCCACGCAGTAGACGTGTAAGTACTTGATGCCCCTGGCGTGCATGTCCTCCAGGATGTTTTCGCGCTTGAGGGCGCGGTAGAGGCCGCCGTTGCCGTCAGGCGCATGCGCCAACTGGCTGGGCGTCTGCAGGATGATCTTGCCATCAAAGGTAAAGCAGGGCAGCGTGCCCTGCTCGAAGAACACAAGGTCCTTCCTGTCCAGGCCAAAGTAGTCGTTGTTTTCGAAGTAGCGCTGTGTGGGCTGCTTGGTGGCCTCACTGGCCATGATGTACCAGGTACAGGCGCCGCCGGTACGGCCGGTACGGTCAGCTGCCACCTCCTGCAGGTGCGCCAGGCGCTCCGCCTGCAGCTGGTACAACGACTTGTGCGACGGCAGGCCCACATCGTACATGCCCTTTGGGTAGTTGACGCCGAGCCGGGTGCCCTGTCCACCGGCCAGTAGGAGCACGCCGATCTGGCCGCGCGAGACGGCCTCCAGACCTGCAGACAGCGGCGGCGGGCACCTTCACGTCAGCAAGGCTCACTCATTCGCTGAGAACACGGCATGGCAGGCGGACGCAGTGGACACACAGCACAGCAGGCGGACACAGCGGACACACAGCACGGCAGGCGGACACAGCAGCATCAAGTCGTGACGAGCAGCAAAAATGTCCATAATCAGAGTTGGGCGTACATACAGATAGCGACGTGCAACATGGCTCACGCACTGTTGAAAATGCATCAAATGCATTGGGTTTGTACCTTTGACTAATCTTATTGATGTGATCAGTGTACATTGTGTGTTATGCTCTCTATTAACTGCCGTGGTTATAACTCTTCTTCGGTAGTCACGCTACACTTGAAGGAAACGGCTGGTTCATAAAATGGTCGCCTAAAAAGTTACCAGAATTTAAAAAGTACTTCAGAAACGTTAAATCAATATACCTACATCGTAACAAATATCCTCGCGTTTAGGATAGGGACCACGCACATCAATAACAGCACTGACAGCATGAACGCTAGCCGGGTGCAGCTAAGCAGAGCACAGCTCATGAATTAAACCGGGCAGCCCGGAACGGCGGCGTCCTCATTGCCTTCGCGCCGCTGACTGGCTCGCCAAATAGAGACCTCGCCGGAGACGGTGTGTCACAAGCGCCGCTCGCGCGCCGGATATCAGCTATGAGCCGGATGGGGCTCATGAGGGCCGGCCGTGGGCTGCCCGTGGCGCGCCGGACGCGTCGCAGCCGCGCCCCGCGCTCGTCTGTCCGTGCCCCGGCCGCTGACAGCGCCGCAAACAAACAGTGTGCCGGCGGCCGGGGCAGGGCGGTCCGGCTCGTCTCCGGGCGACGCAACGGCCCTCGGGTCAGCCCGGGCCCGCGGCGGGCGGCGCCATCCGGCGCACCCCGCCCGTCCGGTGTGTGGCCGCACTGCACCGTTGCGGGCGCCGAGACGGGAGGTTCGGGTCTGACGGGCCTGCCCAGGTGACGACGGCGCCAGCACGGCGCGACTCAGCGGAAGTCTGGATTGTGAATAACGGTATTGGTTGTGAGACGAGTACGCGCGACGTACGAGTTCAGCGCTCGTCGTGTTGTGCATCCATAGCAGGTGAACTGTGTTCGAGTATATCAGGTTGGTCGACAGCACTGACCGCTCGTGCTCGCTATACATAACCGGTCCCGGCCGGCGGTAGGGGCGGGGGCGAAAGTGATCACACAGATTCAGGGACGCGGAGTGCGGGCGACCGTTACGCGCCTCCCGAGGGCAAGGCCCTAGGCACTCGCACACCGCTGTAGGTCACAGTCAGCCGGACCCCACGGTCGAAAAAGTCAGGACCAGGCTCGGCAAGTGCGGCTTTGTGCGCAAACGGAGGGAATCTAGCCTTCCCTCAAGGACTTCTACTTTCTAAACACGGCCGACACCGCTGCAACCGTTAAGCTGCGGGGACTCGGCTCAGCGCTGCCGCCGTCAGGCCGCGTCTCCACGGCCGGTGGCGGTGGACGCGAAACAGTTGTCGGCCCGACCTTCAGCGGAGGCCAATGCCTTCCAGAGCGCGCGCCCGGCTGGCCCGGACGTGCCGGCGCCGGTGCAGGGCGCCGCTGGAGAGGCTGCGTGCGGTGGGCGCCGGCCGCCGCACACGCGCAGCACACCATAAAGCAGACAGATGTCGATAATGGCGCCCATGTCGGGACATAAACCCCCTGGGACACCAGGGCAAGAGCTGTGGCCGACACGGAGCGTGCGCCAGCTGTCGCTGGCGAGATGAAGCCGTGAGAGGTGCCTGCCACCTAAGGGTAAGAGGTGCCTACCGCCATAGATGTTGATATTTTTTGGACGGTGGCCCACAGATGTCAACGTCCGTGCGCCAGACCAAGCGACTGATGAGTCTGAAGGAATGGTTCTGACCTCCGAAATATAACCAAGAGGTCGTTGGCCTATGCATGAAACCCCGCAAGCTGCATCGAGCGCAAAGAAGAACCTGGCTAGGCCTTGGTGAGGCTTCAAGCTGATGAATCATACTCTAAAGCGGATGCACGTATCTTTGAGGCATTATCTCTGAGGACAATGACCTCTGCTTATAAAAGGGCTCATGCCTTCATCGAAATTTCAAACAACTCTTCCCGTGAAAACCCTTAACTTGATAGCGTCGCGGTGTTTTCCACAGAGCCACATGGGCAACACAGTCACACAACAGGGCAAATAGGAGCCGGCAGCCGCGCGCCACCGATGAAGGGGCCAACACTTCGCCCTCCGATAGCGGCGTCCACTCGAGGTTCGCGAGTAGCTTACCAGCCCGTTCATCACCTCGCGCGTCCACCGGTCGGCAGGTCAGACCAGCCCGTTGTGCCGGCTCGTTGGAGCAGCGCAATGAGGACCGACGCGACTCTTAGCCGCTCGGTCAGCGAAGGCGATGCGCTCGGATCAGAAAATCGAGGGGAGGGGGGCAAAGAAACAGGTTCGCTCGGACCCGCTGCGCCGCCAAATTCGCAGGCACCTCCGCGCCGTCTGACCGATCAAAATATCGAGCTGCAGCTACGCATAGCTGCCGCCCTAGCACTACATCACCCACAGGCGAGTAGCTTCCGTGCGGACGGCTCGGACGACGGCAGCCGGCGCGACTGACCGAGGTTCTCATACAGTCGCAACTGCTCGGGCGAGGAGCGCACCACCGAGCCGAAGTCGTCCGAGTGCACCGGCTGCAGACGGCGTGACTGACCGAGGTTCTCATACAGTCGCAGCTGCTCGGGCGAGGAGCGCACCACCGAGCCGAAGTCGTCCGAGTGCACCGGCTGCAGACGGTCGTCTAGCTTGGCCTGGTCCGCGCTCTGCGCCTCCGTCGTGCGTTTGAAGAAGCCGCACACTTCGTCCAGGTCCAGACTGTCGTCAGGACAAGCGCGTCAGCATGCTGATCTGGCCTAAATACCATGTGGAAATACGTGACGCGATGAGCGAGTTTGCCAAAGACAACGCATATATATATATATATATATATATATATATATATATATATATATACATATATATATATATACAAAGAAATAGATACAAATAGACACAGCTGATAAAACCAAAAACCAAAGAGAATTACAATACTAATAAACAAAAAGGGACAGTTTTCGGGGCACAAGTTCAGTTACACGCAAGGTGTCTTATTCTCATGTAAGAAATCGCGAACCAGGAGGCACTTACAAGTAAACGTCCCGAGCTGGGCTGTCAAGGAGACAGATCGGGAAGTTCAACACATAGGTTTAGACCCGTGTGCTTGTGGGTACGGGCCTGTTCCAGGGGCCCATAAAAACATGCAATGTTTTTACCGTTACAGAGAGAGGGGCTTAGACGGCCTTTGGACATCAGCCACACCTTTCCAGAACCTAACATTTCACAGTGCACATCTTCTACACGATAGCTGGTGAATCATTTCATCACTGTGTAGCTCTCTGAGAGTCGGGAGAGATCATAAGGCAAGTGCACACGGGACGAAATGCAACGTAATGTGGTGACTACACACATATCTAGAAGCGAATTCTTGGTGAAACCTGGAGTAAGTTTCACTGTATGAACGTAAATTTGAATCCTAGTTTCTCTTGGTTCCCCATCACCTCCCGTGCCGTAACTGTTCTGCTACCGTCCGTCCTCCCGGGCAGCTCACTCTGCTCTCACCGTTGGATTTCGTCGCTGAGCTCCCGCTGCTGCTGGGGTGCCAGGTCGTCCCAGAACTGCAGCAGGTGCCCCTGACCGGCCGCGTTCACCTTACTGCGCAGACTCTCCACGTCCATGGTGACCTGCGGCGGAGCAAACAGAGCGGCGTCAGCCGATGAAGCGCTGGGGCCGACACTGCGCCGCGCACGGAGACCGAGAGGGCCGACACTGCGCCGCGCACGGGCACCGGAGAGGATCGCATGGGCTGGGCGGGGACCCAAGGGGCTGGGCTGGTGTGGAAACGCGCGGCGCCCGACCCCAGCGCAGGTCGACACCACTGTCGACGCCCCGGCGCGCTGTCTGTTGACCTGGTTGCCCTGCGGGACAGGGGGGGGGGGGGTGACTACACGAGGTCGTCGATTTACACCTGGCCGGTGACGTGGGCATGGGTGGTGGGCAGCTGGGTCGATAGCGTTGTCGTTATAGGCAGGTGCACGCGTGGTGAAGCGCAAAACAGAAAGCCAACTATGCTGTGTTCTCGTAAAGTGCTGATAATGTGGCGGACAGAAGGAAGGGTCCATGACCTGGAATGTAAAACAATGTCGCAGTCAGGTTAGGTAGCGCCATGAAAACATCATGATTAGCGGCAATATCGCAACGTATACTGGATTAATGCCAGTCCATACTGATTTTGCGGTTGAATCTTGATATTACCACATCGGATTTCATACCAAACCTAACACTGTTTTCGGGAAAACAGGATTCGACGCATTTGTAGATATTGAGCTCGTTTCAAAGACATTTGGTATTGGTCTATAGGGCGTTGAGTCACGTTTGTTTAGCGCGAGCGATCGGCTGGTCACTGCATTCGAAGTCACCGCTAACCGTCTAGGAAAAAGCTGGCCACTTAAGCTGACGGACAGCGGCGGGCGCCGCTACCGGCATGAGAGCTGGTCCTAACGAATCAGCCGCCCGTCGCCCGATCCGGCTCCTGCCGACTTCGGGTCTCCGCCCGTCCTAACCGTTCCGGCTTCTGCCGACTTCGGGTCTCAGCCCGTCGCCCGGTCCGGCTCCTGCCGACCTCGGGTCCCCGCCCGTCCTGACCGTTCCGGCTCCTGCCGACTTCGGGTCTCCGCCCGTCGCCCGGTCCGGCTCCTGCCGACCTCGGGTCTCCGCCCGTCGCCAGGTCTGGCTCCTGCCGACCTCGGGTCCCCGTCCGTCCTGACCGTTCCGGCTCCTGCCGATCTCGGGTCCTCGCCCGTCGCCCGGTCCGGCTCCAGCCGACCTCGGGTCCCCGCCCGTCCTGACCGTTCCGGCTCCTGCCGACCTCGGGTCCCCGTCCGTCCTGACCGTTCCGGCTCCTGCCGATCTCGGGTCCTCGCCCGTCGCCCGGTCCGGCTCCTGCCGACCTCGGGTCCCCGCCCGTCCTGCCCGGCCCTGGCTGGCCTCACATGACCGACTGCAGGCCAATCTGCCGCCATCAGCTGGCGGGAGACGCCGCTTCCGCGCACTGGCGCCGACCTCCGCCGGCCGCGGAGACCGGCGGCCGGCACCCGGCGACCTTGAGGCCAACGGCGGCCGGCGAGCCAGCCCCGGCGGCCGGCGAGCCATCCCCGGCGGCCGGCGAGCCATCCCCGGCGGCCGGTGGGGCTCGCCCGCCGCCGCGCGTCCCGCCACTCCCCAGACCGCAGGGAACGGAGACGCGTGCCGCCCTCCCACTGACGTGCCTCAACAAAGCGGCTGTGACTTTGCTGCCGTTCGACCCTCCAGCAGTTGCGGTCGTTCCTCAGACCAGCAGCTTCTAATGTTTTGGTTACAAAGGTGTCCTTAGGACTTCGATGGAAAGATATCATCGTTGTTCCGGAAATCAGTCAAAATCGCGATTTCAAGGGCTTTGACCGTCAGTTACACGTGCGAAGGTCAAACATGCAGTACTGCAGATTCGATCGGCAACTGCCTTCACGTACCATAAGTATCCCGGTCCACGCTGATAATTATGATATCAGACGTATAAGTGATATCAGACGTATAAGTGATATCAGACGTATAAGTGTTTGATGGTGACCGGCATGGGCAAATAAGATGCCAATGCGACATCAACTGCCGTTCCCTGTTTCACTTTGTGCATCCAATGACGTATACAAATTTAGCAAGATCAGAAGATATGTTATTATTTTGAGTGCAAAGCCGGCAGAGGGGAACGGTGAATGCGACAATGACGGCGCCCCTTTAAAGTCAACGGAGCTCACAAACGGGGTAGAGCAGTGCGTGAAAAACTGGCTGCAAAAGGAACAATCAAACAGGGGGCATGGACTAGACAATCCCGAATCTGCTCTTCTGTGCGCAGTATGCCTTTGTATGGAGGGGACCTCGCGCACTCTGGCTGGACGCGGCATGGCTGCTGCTTTACGGACACCACCTCCCTGCGGCTGGACGCGGCATGGCTGCTGCTTTACGGACACCACCTCCCTGCGGCTTGACGGGGCACGAAGGCACCACACCCAGCCGTCGCGCACATATACATTGGCCAATCGGCCGCCGTCCACTGGAGCTGCAACACGGCCGGCGACAGCGTCTCATGGTCATGACCCGGTCCTACTTTCGACGCCGTTACAAAACAGCGGCGGTCGCCGAAGGTCTCCGCGTCTGACGGGCGCCGGCCGGAGCTCTCTCCCTCCCCCAGCGCGGCAGCGGAGGGTCCCTCCGCGCACCCCAGCCGGGTGTGTTCGGCTCTTCAGATGACGCACGCTGGTCCCGCCGCTCGCCGCGCGAGGTTGGGCTTGGGCGAGCGAAAAGTGAACCCTGGTTCAAAGCAACGAGGACCATTTCCCTCGTTAGCTGAGTGACCGCAAGGTGACGCATGTTTGCCAAGGGATTCATTTGTCATTAGCTGCTGGCTTCAGGTGCGCATTAGGCAAACAAATCGGTCTGCCTCGCTGACATCTGACGCCAAATCCGGTGTGATAATGGGTTCGATACGATAATCCGGCGCAAAACCTAACCACTCACATCGAAATCCACCCACATCTTAGCAACTGATAGTGGCTGATAGTGGCGGAGCCGCAGGCGATGGCCGCTAGGGGCCGGGCGCAGGACTGTCAGCCACTCGACTGCCATCCGGTCCGGCCGAGTCGTGCCCTGCTGCTGATCGCCACAAGCGCTCCCTATGGACGGCGCTGCTGGAGCTCACGTCATACCGCTGCGTTGGGCGTATTGGTGTATTTATAAACGCGTCCTGCTCTTGCAGCATTCACGATGACTGGAGTGAAGAACAGGCAAGCATTGGATACCGTCAGCGTGCGCCGATCTGGACCGATTGCGACGGTCGTCGCGTCTGAGGCAGGGCTGGCTGGGGGGCGATCGCTGCGTCTGAGGCAGGACCGGCTGGGCCCCGGTCCCGCCGCACAACGTGGGCCGGCTGTGGCCGCTGCTCCCCCCCCCCCATCCCCACCCCACCTTCGACCTCATAACCAGCGGACGCCCTGCTGAGGTGCGGCCGCACCTGCTGAGGTGCGGCCGCACCTGCTGAGGTGCCGCCGCACCTGCTGAGGTGCGGCCGCACCTGCTGAGGTGCCGCCGCACCTGCTGAGGTGCCGCCGCACCTGCTGAGGTGCCGCCGCACCTGCTGAGGTGCGGCCGCACCTGCTGAGGTGCGGCCGCGCCTGCTGAGGTGCCGCTCGCCACGCCAACAGCAGGCCGGGGCAGCGGGCCCGCGTTGAGGTCGCAGCTTGACCAGAGGGAATCCGTCACACACCGCCGGAGGTGACGAAGCGGCAATATAGAAGGCACGCGCTACAATCCAGACGAGGTGAAACGAATCCGGCTCCAGTACCGATGACCATGTAATGCTGCAGGCCTGATGAGCCTCTTTTGAATAGATTGTTACCCAGGTTTCGTGCCATGTGCTACGAGACACGTTTGAATTGGGCTTATCTGTATCGATCTGTTCGATTTATTGCCCGTCCTATCCAGAATACGTATTTACGCAATTAGGTACAATGCTGCAAATCTCGGTTTACTTGATTTACCAATTATGTGCTCGGAGAACAACCCGCCATTATGCTAAAAATACGATGACTTCAACTGTCGCCCTTCCGCTATGTCACGTGACCGTTCACCGCCATCCATGTTTCATACCGCGCCAGGGGATCGGCCAAGCTGACCAAAACACAGCAGTGAGCAACTACACAATCTGCCATGCAATGAAGTACGCATTGGTCACCTAAGGGGGGGGGGGGGCAAAAGGTAGGTAGAGATATGTTGGGATATAGGTCTTCAGACGTCTGTTTTCACGCAACGTTATAAACGGACAGTTGAATTCTGCAAAGCTTGGATAACCCATTCCCATCCTCCTTTCCTGGGAGGCGGAGCCATTAAGCATTTGGGGTCGCCGTATAGTCTCGTGGAGTTAAGTCATGGACATAGCGGTTGCACGTGACATCGATGTTTTATTTATCCCCGGGTCCAAGCGACTACCTAAAAACCACGCCGTGATCTGGGCAATCCTAGATCGGCGAGTCATGACCAAGGTAACACACCACTTGCGTGTGGTAGCCGTAACATATATAGCGAAGTGAAGCCGAACAAAGGGAGTTGGGACAAGGCGAGCCGGTAAGAGGAAAGGATGCACAGGTGCCACGTCATATGTCCCAGCGTAACATGCGAGGCACGCCCAAAAGCTTAACAGAGATACATGCGGCAACCAATGTGAGGGCGAAGAGTACATCAAATCATTATGTTGAGGTTCTCGGGCCCCTGCTGTGATCCCATTTCATAATGAAGGATTATCATGGGCTTCACGATAGGCCGGGAAGGCAAATGCTCAGCACCCAACATACACCTGGCACGATTCTGCTGGGCATTTTGTCGCGACATGTTCTCAGCTCACTGCCCGCCCGGCGACAGACTGAGCCGAGTGACATGTTCCCAGCTCACTGCCCGCCCGGCGACAGACTGAGCCGAGTGACATGTTCCCAGCTCACTGCCCGCCCGGCGACAGACTGAGCCGAGTGACATGTTCTCAGCTCACTGCCCGCCCGGCGACAGACTGAGCCGAGTGACATGTTCCCAGCTCACTGCCCGCCCGGCGACAGACTGAGCCGAGTGACATGTTCTCAGCTCACTGCCCGCCCGGCGACAGACTGAGCCGAGTGACATGTTCCCAGCTCACTGCCCGCCCGGCGACAGACTGAGCCGAGTGACATGTTCCCAGCTCACTGCCCGCCCGGCGACAGACTGAGCCGAGTGACATGTTCTCAGCTCACTGCCCGCCCGGCGACAGGCTGAGCCGAGTCCGAAGCCGAATATTTTTATGACCTTCGGAGCTCAGGGACCGGCACATTGCGATGAAAGCAAGGACGCGCCGCCGCGCCGCCGCTCAGGAGCCAACAGCTGAGGCGGGCCGCGCGCGCAGCCAGCTGAACGAGACGGAAGCACTCGAGGACACATGACATCAGGAAAAGTAAATACCCAGCCGAGGCATGAATGGGTGCCGAAGCGACACAGTGGACGAGTCATGCGCAACAGGCTACTAACTGGTAACTGCTTGTATAAATACGGCCAGTATGTTTTACTAGTGCATTATTGTTCACCATGATCTGCCACTACTACCACGACGTGATTCATGACTCGAGCCTGCATTTCAGTGCAATTCATGACGTAAGCGTTTTAGAGAAGTCGCCCTCATTTTTATGTATCAAGTCACTGCGTCGAAGCAAAACGGATATAGGATATTGCGATATCTTCTCTGTGGCCGTTACTCATAACAAATTTCCCGACGGCGCGTCCGAGGCTGCACGCCAATCCCCCGCGTGTTCCCCTCCAATGGCAGCACTTAGCGTGCCAGCTGACGAGCCACTCTGCAAAGCCTTGCGAACCGGCGACTGATCTAACTGAACCCGGACCTGGCGAGCGAGGGCTAGGCCGACTGATCTAACAGCCCGCTTACTGGCAGTGCCGTACCATCACGGCTGTCCACCCTCTCACCTGCTGGGGATTCTGCCCATCCTCCCATCTGCAGCTAGCTCGTTATCTTCATGGCGTAGCTCTGCGTGCGCTCTCACCTGGTCAGCTCCAGCATCAGTCTATCGGGGCTATTTACCCTCTCACCTGGTCAGCTCCAGCATCAGTCTGTCGGGGCTGCCCGCCTTCTCATCTGGTAAGCTCCAGCATCAGTCTGTCTGTCGGGGCTGCCCGCCCTCTCACCTGGTCAGCTCCAGCACCAGTCTGTCGGGTCTGTTCACCCTCTCACCTGGTCAGCTCCAGGGCCAGTCTCTCGGGGCTATCCGCCCTCTCACCTGGTCAGCTCCAGCATCAGTCTGTCGGGGCTGCCCGCCTTCTCACCTGGTCAGCTCCAGCACCAGTCTGTCGCGGCTGCCCGCCCTCTCACCTGGTCAACTCCAGGGCCGGTCTCTCGGGGCTATCTGCCCTCTCACCTGGTCAGCTCCAGCGCAAGTCTGCGATGACTCTACGCCGCCTCTCACCTGCTGTGGGCTCCGGTGTGGGGGTTAGTGAGACTAGGTGGTCGGACCGGTCAGTCGGACGCTCCGCCGCGCGAACACAGGAGACGAGCCGGCTCACCGCTGCCGTTATATACCCGCCGCCTGTCAGGCGGCTATCTGCCGCGGCCACCGCGACGCCGTCTGGCGGACGACGGCCGTCACCACGCGGCCGGCGTCACCGCGTAGGTCCGTCACCGCAGTGGGACCGCCCACGGGCGTCGTTTGGCAGATCCATGACCACACGGAGACTACCCGCCATGCCACGAATGCCAAGGTAGAGGCACCCAATGACCATTAGTGGAAATTTTCCGAAATCATTAGGGGTACATCGATATTTTAAGCTGGTCACTTTTACGCAACGCCATGGGTCCCATGCCACGAATTTTTCTGATGGCGGTGACGGAGAACTATGTGTGAGAGGCCCGATGCTTACTCTCACACGATATGAGGCAGGAAGTCGGGTGAGAGAGATAAAAAGCTTAGAGCTCTGTATGGAGAGGTATGAAAGACTCGGTACTATGAGAAAGTCGGGTACGGGAAATGCAAGGTTAAAGCCTGGCGACTCTGTGTAAGACACAGGACACATTTTCCCCGAGAGAAGTTGAGAGGAACCCTTTAGCAGAGTGGCTTGGCATGAGACGGAAGACTGAGAGCCGGTTCGGGTCTCGAGAGACCAGGGACTGAGCAGAGACGAGCAGAGACTCGGCCGCAGCATGGAGTCGTCGCAACACAACGCCATACAATCGGCGCGTCTAAGCCGCACTCCCTCGGGATGAATCCAGCTAGTTAATTACATTCCCGGAGCTTGCGCCGGCGCCGCGCTGCACAACGCTGACGTCAGCACTGCCGGTCGGCGCAGGGGAAGGTCGTGTCAGCTCCGGCCGCTGCGGTCCTCCCCGGAGAGTGGCTCGTGTCCGCTGCGGAGGCTCCCCACCCGGCCGCTGCGGTCCTCCGCCGAAGAGTGGCTCGTGTCCGCTGCGGAGGCACCCCACCCGGCCGCTGCGGTCCTCCCCGGAGAGTGGCCTGTGTCCGCTGCGGAGGCTCCCCACCCGGCTGCTGCGGTCCTCCGCCGAAGAGTGGCCCGTGTCCGCTGCGGAGGCACCCCACCCGGCCGCTGCGGTCCTCCGCCGAAGAGTGGCCTGTGTCCGCTGCGGAGGCACCCCACCCGGCCGCTGCGGTCCTCCGCCGAAGAGTTGCCTGTGTCCGCTGCGGAGGCTCCCCACCCGGCCAGTCCCTTGCGGTGGACGCGGTGCTTGGCACGCGCCCGCGGACCCGGCCTCGGGCGATCGGCGGGAAATCCGGTCCAGTTGGGGGGCCATCGCGCACACCAGCATGCAGAGACGGTAAAGAAGCGCGTGTAAGCAGGCGACCGCATCCTTTACGTTGGTGCTGGCGCTTCGTTGTTAACACGCGCTCGGGTGGAGGTCAAATTGACCCACCCTGAAGGTTTTTCCAGAATGGTTTCCGAACGGCGCGGCACAGCCGCGCCAAATTTTGCATAGCTGTAGAAAATTGAATAGTGGATCACTTAACGTCAACAATTTATATTTACCTTATAAGGTAGCCGACCTATGGCAGGTCAAAGTCAGGTCATGGCTTCAGCGAAGTCATTTTCTAGGGAATTATCCAATTTGATCCAACAACAGAATGTTAGACGAAGCCATACATTTCTGAGATGCTTCCTTATTCAACACAACGATCTGAGTAAATCGTATTGACCTTAGGCCAGGTATGAAGGCCACACCAACGTTAAACCAACGTGTTTTTTACACTAGGGCTTGCTGTAGGGCATGGTTTCTGGTCTTCATTTCATATTTATTGACAGCAGGAATCGCATTCTACATCTTTGATGGACTTCTTAGAGGTCAGAATAGGTCATTGACCCAAAATGACCCAGGCCAACATTTTGTTTTTAGAAATGCAAAGCTCAGGGCGGTCTTGTATGATTCTGTTCACCATGACCTTCAAAAGGTCAAACAAGGTCACTGAACTTAACTGAGCATGTGACCTTTCGCTTAGAAACGATTATCTAGGCTCTGGTGACACCTTAGAAACCAAACTGGAATTCAACCTTGTTTGGCCATATTTGACACGAAGATCATGACCTAGAAACCTCAAACTTTGACCTAAGTGAGTTCACGTACAGGTCAATACACCCTGTGAATTTGGTGTCTCTAGGTTTCTTAGTTCCCGAGGTCTCAGGAGGGTCAAATTGACTCCCCACCCGAGCGAAGGGCATCTAGCCAGCCACTTGGGCGCGTGTTGAAGTTCCGCCTCGTGACGCGGAACCCTTGGCTGCGGCTATTGATTTCAGTATCAAGCCATGTCTGGCTAGTTTTGCGTTTATTTGAAAGGCTGTCTCAGAAATATACGGAGGTGGTTGGTGAGATGCCATGAAGCGCAATCCACGGGCTGTCCATATAACGATGCAGAATACCCATGCAAAAGGCTTTTGGTTGATATATCGAGCAACCATGATGCTGCGTGGTTTTACGGGCAGCATACACCCAAAATATTTATGTCAGCGCCATGTTCACGTGTTCACGAGATCCTGACCATCTTTAATAAAAAAAAAACATGTGAGCGCTTCCACAGATGCCCTGCTTCGGTGGCCAAGCCGATGGTCCGAGCACCTATCCCTCCAAAAAAATATTATCGAATTTGGCTCAATATGTGTTGACGGACGGTGGTTTATTATTTGTATGGTATGATCATATTACAAAAGTGTGCAATTTAAAATGGCCGTAATGTTGTATTTGCCAAAGAATTGGGGAGACCAAGTGGACATGGGGGCCGACTCATCATTGGAGCCAGGATCCTCACAAAATAATGCAAATCGACACCCCCAAGCGGTTTCAGTAGACACATGAGTGACGCCAAACAATGTAGCTTGTTGTGTTACATTCTGTCTTAAGGCGCAGCATCTTGCCCCTGTGTGCTTATGCGTACAAAGGAAGGAGCAGGAAGATGGACAACAGAAAGAAAGGAAAGAGATAAAAATCCCTCTCAACTTTGGCAATAGATCACAAGACATTAATTGCCGCAAGACCAAATCATAGGCGCAAGAGCGTTTCAAAAAGCGTGCGTATGTTTGGGGGGGGGGAGGTTCAGGGTTTACTTAAGTAACTTTTACGAGGAGCAGAGCTAGGCGATCGGGTGATGGGACGGAAAAATTTGTCCACTTGTTGAGTACCACATGGGTGACGCAACCGGAGTCAATGTAATGGATTATATCCTATAAAGTTAAAGCGCAATAAGCAGTACTGACACGGTTGCTGACCCGGTCGATACATGGGAGACTTCATGAGCGGCCCGGCCCGTGATTGGACGGGCCCCCTGCCAGGCACGCAGCGGAACAAAGCCGACCGCTCCAGGAAGCGCCGCCGGCCCCGCGGCAGGACCCCGCCCTCCGCCGAGGGGCGTGCCGGCTCCGGCCTTGCCTTGCCCGCCCCCGATATCGGACCGGGACGGGCGTGGGCCGGTCGACGCCAGCGCCGCGCGACGGACGGGCAGTGAACTAGAGTACGGCGTACTCCCGACGCGCACGGCTCTGGACGACGGCGCTGAGCCGTGAGAAAGTCAGCGAGACAGGTGCTGACGTTAGTTTCTACGTGACCGCAGTTTAGGTTTTCCAAGACCCATGACACGTGCGCGGTAATTGTCAACTGATTAATCTGACTAGGTTTTGAAAAGCAAGTAACTGAGGTGAGCAAAGCCTAACACGTTCCGTGACGGCAAGAGCTCAGCTGATTATATATATATATATATATATATATATATATATATATATATATATATATATATATAATTCAATGTACGGTTTACAGCCGAACGTCAGGATGAACACGGTGCCATGCTGTTTTAGACGTCCTCGTGGCACGCTATGCAGACAAAACACATTTGACCAAACTTTATGTCAAAGAAGCGCTCTCTGGCATAACCTCACTTTTCATCCGCACGTCCAAGGCTCACAGAATTACACACTGAAAAATGAGCTACGGCGAGCTGTTTATCTTTCATGCACACCGCAGGCCATCCGCCGCAGCACACACCGTGTCGCGCATAGATCACCGCAGCACATTGCAGCACACACAGTGTCGCGCATAGATCACCGCAGCACATTGCAGCACACACCGTGTCGCGCATAGATCACCGCAGCACATCGCAGCACACACCGTGTCGCGCATAGATCACCGCAGCACATCGCAGCACACACCGTGTCGCGCATAGATCCTCAAGCAACGGACAACCCAGAGGCTAATTCAAATCTTGGTTAAGCAAGCTATTAATCAGCGTCCCAGTCCCGATCATCCGCCACGAAGAAAATTAAATATGGTGTACCTCGCACAACCTTTCATCGACGACCAGTTATGCCAGGAGGTCCAACATCCGTAAAAAAAATAGCGGCATAGAATATAGGGTGGCTTGGAATAATTCCGAGTCAATAAAACAGAACCTCGTGCGCACCAACCTGCGCAAACCAACAACCTGCGCTCAACACGTCCCCCATCGGAAGGTGCAGGCGCATCCCGTGTTCCTCTGGCCTCGACAAATGCTCCACCAACAACGAAGTAAATCAAGTCGCATGCACTCTGTGTTTAGCTACCTGCATAGCGGAGTGCATTTGTCCGGTACGTGAAAGGTTTTTAATCACTGGCGTGCAACATTCAGCAAGGGCATCAAATATCCATTTGGGCTTCATTTTCGGACCGATCACCGCTTTATGTGCCTCCTGAATGTCAATACGAGAGGAAATTGTGTGCAAGTGTTGTATGCACGCCGAAAGAAACCTTAAAGAAAATACCTTCTTTGGTACTCTGAGACCTTCCATAAAAACGTCAATCGGTGGACCTTACTAGGATAGCCAAGGAAACTTGTTCGATATCGGCCTTAGTACGCTGCTTTTGTATGCCTTGGTATATCGGTTTACCTTCATTCATGTCATCTTTGTGTTGCCATCTGTTTGCCCTATTTTTTGTCATCGAGTCTCCTGTTTTTTTACAATGTGTAAAATGTCTGCGAGGCTGAGATAGTTTAACCTGTACAAACAACTATTACCTGAATTGTCCCTTAGACGTTCCAAGCT